TTATATGGAATAACCTTCTAGTTGGAGTTTTGCAAGTATTTGCGTTTGTTTGTCCGCTTTTAGTAATGATTCATTTATTTCTGTGCAGCGGTAGCGACAGCGAGGCGTACGATGACTCCAGCTCGTCCTATTCCTCACTTGGAGACCTCGTGAGCGAGATGATTCAAGGCGACATCCAGGGAGACACGCCGAGTAAGTTGCCGCTTCATTTTTCAAGGACCGATCGTATTCGTGCTGCTTCCTCCGTTGTAACGTTCCGCCTCGATGTCTCAGGCTTGGACCCGCCCACTCACGCCGCCCTGGGAGACGCCAGCGAGGTTGAGTTTCAAGACTTCCACGACTTCAGGGAAGGGCACAGCGCGGAGGGTCCGCCCGGCGGGGACGGGCCCGCCGAAACGTCGGACGGACAACCCCTCCGATCGAGCTCCAGCACAACCGCAAGCTCCAGTCCAAGCACAATCATCCAGGGCGTCAACAACGTGTGTGCTTGTTCCAATTCTTCACTGCATTTTTCTAAATATCACTGTTTTCCTGATGGTGCCTCTTTTTTGACTCAAGCTGTAGACTTTTGTTGTTGTAATTGGGGATATTTTGGGAAACATTTGCACACCCTCTCGTCTTTCTCTTGTTTCCAGGAGCAGGGCGAAGTACCTGAAATCGAAGCCTCAGCGAGCGCCGCCTTACAGAACCCTGTCCCCGGACTGGGCAGCCAGCCGTTCCTCAGACCCGCAGCCGATGCCGGTCTGGTGGATCCAGCCAACAAAAAGCAAGAGTATGACAACCCGTACTTTGAGCCTCAGTATGGCTTCCCCTCAGAGGATGATCCTGATGCAGAGGAGCAAGTGGAATCATACACCCCTCGATTCAACCAGAACCTCAATGGCAACAAGTGTGTTAAGCTTGTTCATCACTTGAATGAATGCGCTTCTCATCATTCAAATGAGCTCTCTGACCGACCATGCAATGCTCTCTGTCCAAACCCAGCATGTCCAACTAACCTCTCCATTCATGGTCTTGAATCTTTGGTGGTGTGATGGTGTGAATGTTTCAGAGCTTCCCTCGCTGCATGTACATCTTCTTGTGTTTGCGACGGACTCTGACGCTGTTTGGACACGTTTTTTCTTTTTCTTCTTTCTCAGAGCTCAGCGTCCTTTACGTCCCAGCAGCCTGAGGCTTCCAGGAGAGTCTGACGGAGAAGACTCACGCAACAGCTCGCCCAACTCCACCATCTCCAACAGCAGCAACGACGGATTCGGAGGACTCATGTCCTTTGCCAGTAAGCACGTTTAGATTTAGTCTCATACAGATTGTTTTAAACATGAAATCAAATTTTAAAAGACTCACGTAATCAACAACACGTTAAAATCCAGAAGGTTGGGCGTGTGTAGCTGATTAGAGGAGAGCTGCTTTGTCATAGAAGTTTCTCTGGTTTTCTTTTTTCCATAGAGGACAGAATTAAAGTAAAAGTAAAGCTGTACTGTGAATGAATGAAAATGAAATGAAAAATACTTTATTTATCCCAGAAGGGAAATTCAATAAAAATCTGTGCAGACGTTCAATGAAACTGTTATTGCTGCGAAAGCTACAAAGACTGTCAACATACAGAATAATGTCCAGTGTATTTAATTCCTGTTAACGATTAAACGATTATTAATTTACAACAATGCTGCCATCAGTTAAGACCGTCGTTTCAAATTTAAATCCCAGTTTCACAGCTTCCAGTTAAACAAAAAAATAAATAAAATCAGGTAAAGCAGGTTCAGGAGATGGGTTGATCTGGGAGATTTGGTTTTATATGAAGTCTGCTATTATGAACGTTTAATTTGTGGATTGTAGACGGACGTTAATATATTTACTGTTCATGTAACAGCAGATATGTACATTTAGGATCAGGTGACTCATGTTTTTAAAGGGTGCATCATTACTGTTTTAATAAAAATAAAAGTGATGTTTAATAGGACTACAACTAATAGTTATTTAGGAATCATCTTTTAATCCTTTTCTTGATTAATCATTGATTGATTAGTTGTTTTGGTTTGTTTAAAAAAAAAAAAAAAAGAAAGAAAATGTTCATAATTGTCTCACAGAACCCAAGATGACAAACAAAGATATTCAGGTTGTTGCATCGAGGAGGAAACATTTAAGAATCTGCAACCAGATCTTCCTTTTTTTAAAGACTCACACCATTAATCGAAAACAGGCGCAGCAGATTGTTTGATTAGTTTATCGTCATTGCAGTTCTCTCTTCCTGATTTCTGATCGTTTTATTGTCACTCCGGCTGACAGGCAACCTTTACAAGAACCACGGCACCAGCTTCAGTCTGTCCAATCTGGCTCTTCCCAACAAGGCGGCGAGGGAGAAAGCAACACCTTTCCCCAGTCTGAAAGGTAGGAGAGCGCCGCTAAACCCACCTTTTTTAAGATTTGTTCAAGTTCTGCCATCTTGGTGTGTGTTCAGTTTGGATTCAGGAGTGATAATGAACATTTTTAGACGGTTATTTTGTTTAGGATGCACAGTTACAGGAGGGAAACAACATGAATGAATATGAGTTAGGGAAACAGTGTCAGCGTCATTATCGTCAGTATTTTTGTTTTTCTGTCCCGCTCATTTGATTTTTCTGTTTATATTGCTGGCTTCGTGTTTGCAGTCATCTACCTGATTATTAATTAATGCCATCTTTAATCATACTAACTTGAATTACACTCAAATGCTCTCATTTAAATCCTCTAATTTAACCTGCCTTTTAAAATACACTATAAAACAGACCCGCTAAATAAAATAAACCATAACTTACTGTCGACACAAAAACCTTTTTTTTAATCAGTATTTTGTAACCTTAATATATTCTTGTTAATTAATTTTGCTGTCTGTCCTTTTTCTCGTTTCTTTTTCGATCATTTTTTTGGGGGATGAAAGAATATTTTAATTTTGATATTGAGGAGGAAATGGAGCAAGCAGGTTTGTAGAACTGTTTTTTGTTTTGTTTTTTTCTTGTGTAGCCTGACTTTCCTCCCTCTGGATTGCCAAACATATATGGCACTATTTAAAGGAGAATATTGAGAATATATATCAAAACAAAGAGTTTTTCTCTCAAGAGTCTTAACAGGAAAATCCACTCGAAAACAGACTTCACCTTCTTCTCGGTTCATTTGCGACTCTTTTTCGTGCACAGCTTTGCTTTGGCTGTCGTCTAATTTGCCTTTTTTGTACTATATCATTAGCTGAATGTATGTAATGTGCTCATATTTAGCATCTTTGGAGAGAACATCGGTAGAAATGCGTTCCTAGTTATAATTTGGAGGTGCATAAATGTGGAAAGGCAGGTGTCAGGTGTTGACAGAAAACACAAAAATGTGAACAAATCTGTCGTTTTTTTTTGTCACAGGGACTAAAATGACATTTGGCAGTAGAGTTATGAAACTAGCTAAATTTTCTGAATTCTGTTTAGGCTGGATTTTCACTTTAACTGAGAGAAAAAAAACAAAAACAGGCGAAGCATGAAAAGCTAACTCAATAGCTCCACTCCATGTGGAATAGCTGCCATAGAAAATGTTCCGTTCCTTTGATTATGATGTGTTTTGTCTTTGTTCAGATGCCCCTGACAGCCCGGGTATGTTACGTCTGGTGTGATAGTTTGTTCTAGCCCCCTTTGCTAGGCATTTCTTTATCCTTGAAGTGACCTGTGCCTATTTCACACCCTTGTTTCTCAGCATAGGCCTCAGATAGAAGACCTACCTCTCATGCTATTCACGTATCTCCACGCCTTCCCCCTCCGTTCCTTTGCCATTCCTCTCTGTGTGACTGTTGGGAGTCTTTTTGATGCACACATAAGTAGTGGAAAGATTCACCGTCGTTGGTGTGGCATCTGCACATCCTTACTGCTACCAGAAGGATGCTCAGTCCTGTTTATGCAATCAGTGTTTACCGCAGCGACATTCACGTCTTAGAATGGCGCCCGCGGAAACTTCTGTCCTCAGAGAATTTGTCTCCTTCACCTGCTTCTCTCACATGTTTTTGCCTTTGCTTGCTTGTTTGTTTGGTGGCTCCCATTTGCTAAATGTCCTCTTTCCCCCTTTTTTTGCGATTATTCACTGTTTTAGCAAAAATTGGTAGCGAAGATGACAGGTTTTATTTCCAGGGATGTCCCGATCAGGTTATTTTCTTTCCCTCGATCCGACTTTTGCGTTGCATTTCTGAATCCGAGCTGTTCTTTAATGTTCTGTAGATGGTCATTTACCTTGTTGTAGCTCCGCTACGACACCATCTGGATTTAGTGTTAGAGGGGAGGATGTACTGAGGCTCCACAAGATGTAGAAAACCTGTATTCTCTACATGATGTCAGATCTAGACCAGCTGTAGTACCTGGTTGTTCCACCAGGTGGAGCCTCTTATTGTTTAATACTGTAGAAACCAGAGGAGGTGTCACTCAGACTACAGTTCATGTTGGCAGCAGAGAGCATTGTGGGAGATTAGCTAGTAAAAGGGCACCATGACAAAGATTTATGTGATGATTAATGACCTCCGACCAAAGTTTATGTGTTTAAGACCAACTGGGATCGACCTGGACAGCTTTTTATGTCTCACCAGCGATCTATGTGGCCCAAACTTGACTAAAACAGCCAAATCAGCAAAGGACAAATGTTTTAATCGGAATGTTTATGTTACGTCTGAATCCCTCACGTCCTGCCACAGGTTGTGCTCTACCTTTACGACACCTGTGAGACAGCGGACGTAAACAAAGAGTCGGGCTTGAACCGATCGGATCAGGACATCCCTGCTGCTTTTTTTTTTTTATCTTCTGTGTTTTTGTGCTCAAAAGCAATAGTGATAAAATTCCACCATGCACATCCTCTGAAGAGTCATCCATTTCTCCAGATTTACATCGTCATTGTCGAACTGTTCAACATCATCCACCTGGTTCGGATGTAAACACAACAAAGTATGAGCTCTGCACCGACTCCTACTTGGGACGGACTGTACATGTTGAAAGTGTTGCTGAAAATATTCATCTGACCGAACACTTTTAGGACCATCATCAGTACATACTGTCTGTTCTCTCTTTTCTGTCTGCCCTTTTTCTTTGTTTTCTATTTTTTTTCTTTCTCTGTTTCGGCGCCATGTTGAGTGTGCATGTCTGTCGTGTTACGGGTTGATGTTCAGACTGGTTGTGTCTGGGCCGGTGTCCCTCTCTCTGTCCACCTTTTTGCGGCACTAATTCTGGGTTTTGTGTGCAGTATTTGGGCTAAATTCTCTAATGGAGATAATTACAGAGGCCGGCCCGGGGAGCGGAGAAGGTGGGTTCTGCCCTTCTTATCGAGTGAGCTGCATGCTTCTCCAAAGCCAGTCAATTACATCTCCCAGCATTCCCTGTGTCTTAACCCCATTTCAGTCACTGTCCGGTGGATCATTGAGCGTGTCGTCCTGCCACACTGCCATTCATCGTGACTGTCCTCCCTCCTCAGACTAACAGTCAATTCACTCCACAGTATGTTTATTTTCATCGATCAAACTAGCCTTAATGAAATCTATCAGGGAAGAAGTTCAGCTGCATACGATGCGGCAGGGAAGCAAACGAAGCACAGGACAGAAACGCAGAATAAGAACAGAGAATCTAATCTGCCAGCGTCTATTGTGTGTCATTGTTTTCTCGTCCTTCATGCTCCCACGACGGAGAATAATGGGGTTGGGCTGATTCATGCTGTAATTGTGCTGCACACAATGACACAGTGCTGCATTAAAATTATGCAAATTCCAAAGCTAAGTGGTGAAAATCTTTTCTTTCTTTTTTTTTTTTTTATTATTCTGAGCTAAAGTCAGGACTGCACGAGGCGAGATGCTGGGCGTCTTATCTAACATCACGGTTATGCTGATGGCACACTGCAGGCTTTAGAGATGAGGCGCAACACTGCATATATAGTGGAACATTTTCTGAGTTTCGTAGGAGTTGGGGTTTGGAATCATGTTAGTGGTATAGATTCTGCAATCTTGGATCATTATGCTTCCTCGTCAGAAACCCATCCGACCAAACAAACATGCAAACATGACCCAAACTACTTTTTTTTTGGTGATATCTGTGCACCAGTTTTTCCATCATCGGTGCTGCCGGTCTGCTAACGCTGAAAGAACCCTAAATGTTGACATTGTGAAATCTGGATTCATAACGTCGGCCACCTACGATAGAAACTAACATGATAACACTTAATTTACCGAGTCTGCAGGGCCGGTCCCTCTAAAGGCTTTTCAGTTTATTCTCTTTCTGACTGCAGGCTTCCGACTAGGTTTGTGTTTCAGTGTAAAATGCTTCCTATCCGTCAAGGTGAGGCATTAATCAAATTTGCAGCGCTACAGAAGCAAAAGGGACGGTGCAGAAATGTAGGAACATCAGTCAAAGAACAGGAAATGAACAAGAAATACACACAAGTACGGTTGACATTGTAGAGATTCTTCCACATGTGGCAGTTCAGATATTGCACAGATTCCTCTGAATGTGAAAAATAATATTGCACAGGTTCACAAGTAGAAAAAACACTGATGTCGCACAGAATCGCATATAAATATATATATAGAGGGGAAAACAGGGATTCTTTTGTGAATAGAAAATAGCGACATTGCACAGATTCTTGTGCCTGTAGGAAAAGCGATATATCTTTTAAATGTTTAGAATATTTGTAAATACACAAACATCGCGATAATGTTAAGTTATATCATAGAAATAGGTCTGGTGTTGCAGCTGGATCGTATTTGATTTGAGGCAGACACTGACTGGATTTAGTATTCTGATTTTGTTTGTAGTCTGGCCGGTGCTGATGCAGGAACAACTCGCCGTGCCGCTGCTCCTCCAGACTCCGTGTCCCACGTTTGCTAAGCTAACGGTGTTTTTCCGCTCTGTTTACGAGCTGACCTGCCTGCGCGGTGTCATGTTGGCTCTGCTGCCGCGGACTCAGCGTTCAGACTTCATTAGCGTTTCTCCCTCGTTACTCAGCTCGACCACACAATTGACCCCGAAGGTCAAGTGCTGTTTTGTAGCTTCTGTATAAAAAGCCACAGGGGTCCGCCTAATACCTGGAAGTCATCCTGCCAGAAATAATGATGAAATCCTGCAGCCAAGAGACTCCACTGGAGCTCCAACACCAACAAACTTTTCATTTAGCCTCAGATTTATCTGGCTGTATTCATCTGCAGTCTTCACCCTCCTGCTGCAGTAAAGTTATCATATGAAGAAACAGCCTGGCTGCTCGTGTTACGATAAGATGGAACTTCATTCATCCCAAAGGAAATAACGTGAATTAATGCAGCCCCTAATAGAAAAGCAATGAGTACAAAATACTAGTAAAAAGACAAATAAATTAAGATGTAATAGTAGCAGACGCTGAAGTAATGAAGTATTATTGGGCATGAAACTGAAGTATTCCACCTGATCCTGCAACTTGAGGAAGTAATGTTACAAATAATATTACTGTTTAGGATGAAGTGACGAATGATGCATCACTTTTTGGAATAAATCATTAAAAACACAGACAAACAGCCGTGCGTTAATGTTTTGTTTTGTTTTTTTCTAACTGAAAAATTCTGCTTGTGCAACCAGAGTGTTATCTTTCTTCAATAAAAACCTCATTTCTTGTCCCCGTATCACTCCGGCAACAATAATAAACTGCAGATCCCTGCTGTCACATAAAACTAACAATGAACCAGCCTGGAATGACAGATGTCAGATCAGAAAAAGCTTTTTTTTAATTCTCTTCTTGTAGGAGGTTTCTTCTCTCAGGCCTCAGCGTGTAACAGCCTGAAGACGCTGTCAGCTAATTCCCCCCGTATCTGTCTTTATGCTGCATCTGTGCTCTTTGAATAGCAGGAAATACTCCCGGTGTGGGCACTGATGCATTTTACTGGACCTGAATAATCTGGATTTATCAGTGCTTTTATTTCATTTCGTATCACAGTAACGTGGTTGTAGAACGGCTGAAGCTCGATGCTGGTAAATACACGACATTTGTGTAAAATATTAGCTCTGAAAAAGAGCGACGTCATGATCGCACGTATCTCTCAGGTGTTGTTTATTTCTTAAAACCTAATTTAACCTCAACGTGATTAGGTTGGACAGTTTTAGTTCCAGTTAAAAGTTGGCTCCGGTTTTTATGTCGACATGTGAGCCGGCGCACCGTGTCCAGAAGTTGAAGTTCTTTGCTCAGATGCTGCAGGAATTAAACATAATTGTAGCTTGGAATTTGATTCCTCTCACTTAGATTTAGTGTTTTTATATTAAATGTCAGACATTCAGCGTGATTTAAAACACATCAGATTCTTTTGTAATTTAATCAGTTGCGTTGTTTTATTTCATATCATGTGTGACTTTACAGCAGAACCGACAGAACGCATTAGCTGTTTCCATTCTGTGTTTTAATCCACATTTTTCAAGTAATGCGTTTAAAAAAAGGTCGAAAAAAATTGAGAAAAGTTAGAGGAAATGGCAAAGTTGGTTCACATGAGGTTGTTTAGTTATCAAGATTCATTCTCGATAAGTTCTGAGCTGTTTTCTTTCATCGTTCTCGCCTCCAAACACCTTTCAAACCTACTGACAAAAAGAACAACTTCCTAGATTAAAACAGTTCCTGAAGACTCCTGTTTGTTTTTTCTCTCTTGTAGAAGTTTTGTTTGTTTCTTCGAGGTGTTTTTTTAGCGATTCTTTGTTTCCTGTTTATTGTAGCCATGTGGCCTGTAGCGCCACCTTCTGCCGATACGAAGCCTAGTTTACTTTCTCAAGAGCTTTTAATCCAAACGAGCCTCATTCGCAACAGAAGTTTGCCTTTAATTCCTTTGAGTTGTATGGAAACACTGCTTTTGGCTGCATCTTTCATTAATTTGCAGCTGCTTTTACTCCTTTTTTATTTGGACTTTCTGTTCATTGTAGAGCTGCTAATTGTTTACTCAATTAATAGTCAACTTGTGACTGTTTCCTTAACTAATTTGAGTGATTTTTTTTTTTTTTTAAGTCAAAATTTTCAGATTTTGTTTCTTTTTTTATCCAGTCGTCCTCATGTGTATTCATCCCCTTCCATTAAAGAAAAGGCAAAATTCACAACAGTCGCTCAAATAACTAGAAACTGAAAAAAGTAATGATAAATAAAAATTTGCTAAATTATAATTATGTGAGGTTCACACTGTGGAGAACGGCTGATTTAAAATATGTATTTGAGAGTTAACACGAGGCGAATATTTAATAGAAATGCACAGGAGGGATTTATTTTACCCCGAGACGCCGCAGTGTGTAGCGTCGCTGAGCTTTTTAAATTTAAGGCAAAAGGAATAAGTAGACAAACACCATGAGGTCTGATTCGTAACATTCGGAGCCTGTTTGATTGAAGGTGACCCAACCCCAACAACCGCTTCAAAACGAGCCGCCATCCGTCCGCTCATCTCTTTATTTTCCGTCATGCATGGTGTCACTGATGCAGTCGCTGTCCTCCCTCTGACCTCACGTCTCCATGCCGCTAATTTGTGATGCCACCACCACGATGTTTGTGTGCGACTGTGTGTGTGTGTGTGTGTTTGTTCACCACGTCCCTGTTTGATTTGTCCTTCACGTCTCCTGTTGTAATAATAGACTCCAGCAGCAATTTGTCTGTTCAGCAGTAGATAACCTTCGCCTAGATCCCAAACGTGTCTGTCCTCCTCTCAAAGTGACGCTTTTTTCTCTTCCTACTTGATGTCGTAGCTGTAAAAAGAAAACAATAACAATAAAAGACACAGTAGAAAGTTGTTTTTTCTGTGCTGGTTTGCAGTTCTTGGTGAGCAAAGTGTTTCTGTGTGAGTCCGGTTCACTTTCACCGTGTGGGTTTTTGCAGTGTTTTGTTTTGTTGTTCCGGTTTTTGTCGCTCACGGTTGTCGGTTCTTCTTCAGGCGCTCGTGCACCTCGGGCACTCGTGGACCAGAAGTCGTCGGTGATCAAACACAGTCCGACGGTGAAGAGAGAGTCGCCCTCTCCTCAGGGTCGAGTCAACAACACCAGGTACATGGGGGATCTGAATGAGGAAGTTCTCGGCCTCACCAGGAAACATCGCAGGACAAAGATCGTTTTTAAACATCCTTTAACGTCAGTGCACTTTAATGCACTAATCCTCAGTCGATGCTGCAAATGTGGCCCAAATTACACTGTTCTTTGTTTTGTGACTATAACTTTTGGCTGTAAATACACGATTCACACATGAAACAGGAAAGCATACAGTTAAAAGAGGAGAACAGGGCAGCAGGTATTAATCTCTCTGTCACCTGGATGCATGGTGGCATCACACTATAAAACAAAGTTACCTGTTGCTTGAGTTTAAGCGAGTGATTATGACATGTAATTCCCATATTTTTTAGATCAAAAACCCCAAAACAATCCAGGATTTTGTGCTACATCAGTAAACAACTGTGCTTGTGTTTAAATGTGCAAGAAAACAATTATTTAAAATAATCAGATTAAACCCTCGGAACCCAAAAAACCTGATGCTAAGTATAAAACACCTTTAATTTAAAAAATTAATTTAAAAACATGTAAAAAATTACACCAATTATCAGAGCCAGAAACTGTAAAATCAGAAAAAAAAATCATCTAATTTTCTACTTTTTGACTGTTCTTGAACATCTGTGACATGCTGCTGCAATACTTGATCCAAAATCACTTTATTCTACATTCCTTATTTAGAAATTTACCAAAAATAGACCCTTTGCATGAACCAGATTCTATAAAAATGAAAAAAAAAAATTCTGCATTTCTTGTTGCAGCTGTGAAGCCATGAAGGACTCGGATGTGATCGAGAGTCACGTAGCAAAAATTCAGCAACTTTTCAGCTGAAATGCAGGCAGTGTTTACACAAATTAAAAATGCATCTAGTAAAGTATTTACTGTAGTTAGCGTCACCGTTTTTTTTTCTAGTATTGTTAAAACCTGTGGGCACCTGGAAAAATGTTGTATGTTGTTCCCAGGTTTATTCAGTTACAGTCAAATAAAAAATGGGAGTTAGGGAGTTACACTTCTTGTTTCCGGGTGAGGTCGAGAACATTTCTTGTGTCCTCGTACGACGTGAGAAGTTTTAACTGGTTGTTCGTGGGGTGTAAATGTTTTTATGATGTCGTTCTGCTGAGTTGGACTGAAGCTGTTTCTTGTGGTCCAGTGAGAACCAGCAGTTCCTGAAGGAGGTGGTGCAGAGCGTCCTGGACGGCCAGGGCGTCGGCTGGCTCAACATGAAGAAGGTCCGACGCCTGCTGGAGAACGAGCAGCTGCGCGTCTTCGTGCTGAGCAAACTGAACCGAGCCGTGCAGTCGGAGGAGGACGCCCGGCAGGAGATCATCCGAGACGTGGTGGGTTTTCACCGTCCTGACTGTTGACGCTCATGAGTGAAGAAGTGCACGAAGTTAGCGACAAGTCCTGTCAGAAGTCTAACCGAGCTACTGATGCTCCGTGGACATGTAGTGAGATCTGAAGCTCCAACAGTGGAAACATGTACAAATCAAAACACCTCCAAAGTCCTGCAGCGATGCTTCAGTTACAGCTCTGTTAATAATGAACGATGAAGGTGTAGATGACAGAGATCCTCCTCACACAGCTGCTCCTTAAAACAACCATTGGTTTTCTTAGCACTCTTCTTTTTCCTCCTCTTCTTTTTTCTTCTTCTTCTTCTTCTTCTTCCTCTACTTTCTTTTTCTCCTTTTTCTACTTTTTCTTTCTCTGCTTCTTCTTCTGTCTCTCGCTCTTCCTCTTCTTCCTCTTTCATCTATCTTTTTTGTTCTTCTTCCTCCTTATCTTCCTCTACTCGCTTCTCCTCTTCTTCCTCTATTCCTTTCTTTCTCACCATCATCTTCTCTTCTTTTTCTTCTTCCTCCTTTTCTTTCACTCTCTTTGTTGTCTTCTTCTTCCTCGTCTACTTCCTTTTCTTCTCTTTTTCCTCTTGTTTTTTCTGCTTTCTTCTCATGTCTTCTCTTTCTTGCTCTTCCTCATCTTATGCTTCCTCTTCTTCTTCTACGCCTTCCTCTTTCGCACCTTCATCTTCTCCTTTTCTTTTTCTTCTTCCTCTTTTTCCTTCCTTTTCTTCTCATGTCTTCTCTGTCTTGCTCTTCCTCTTCTTCCTCCTCTTCTTCCTCTACTCCTTCCTCTTTCTCACCTTCATCTTCTCCTCTTCTTTTTCTTTCTCTTTTTCTTCTTCTTGCTCTTGTTCTCCTCTTCTGTCTCTTTTTCCTCTCCATCTTCTTCTTCCTCCTCTACTTCCTATTTCTGCTCTTCTATTAATCTTCTTCTTCCGCTCTTCTTTTTCCCTCTTCGTCCACATCCTCTTCCTCTTCTCCTCCTTCTTCTTCTTACAAACCTTGTGGCTGTGTTTGCTTCCAGGAGGTGAGCAGGAAGGTGTATAAAGGCATGCTGGACATCTTGAAGTGCACGGTTTCCAGTCTGGAGCACTCGTACACCAACGCCGGCCTCGGAGGAATGGCCAGCGTCTTCAGCTTGCTGGAAATAGCTCGAACACATTACCAAACCAAAGGTGCGTCTGCTGCGTTTAGAACAGGAATGCTTGGTGTTGGGACTCTGTGATTTATAGGATTTCTAAACCTTTCCGTGCTGACAGCAGCGGGCCTGTGCTACTAACACTTGTCCGTGTGTTTGTGTTGATATTAAAGCTTAAAGCTGCATGTTAGACTCACTGAAACATTAACAGAAACTGTGATTCTCTTTGTCCCGCTTTTAAACCTACGTCTCTGATGTCCCTGTAACTTTCATGATGCTCTGTCTTTGGCCCCCTCCCCCTTAATTTCTGGTGACTTGGTAGACCCAGAAAAGCGCAAGCGAAGCCCCACAGACAGTGCTGGCAGCCCGGGGAGTAAAGAGAGTCCTTCTGGTCGCATGGAGACCTCCAGGCCTCAGGGGCTCCTGAATATTCCCCACCTGCAGCTGCCGCACCACCCAACGGGCAAAGGAGCCCGCCATTTTGATACCCGGAGTCTGAACGAGGAGAACTTCATTGCCTCGATTGGTGTGTACACCACTCCAGCCCGGTTGCATGTGCACTGTAAAACCCCACCTACCTACCCCCCTACCCCCCCTACAAGCTCATCTACCTTTAACAAACCCACCCCCCTCCTCCAGCCGTCTCCAAGAAAGCCCCCTTCACTTGTCCCCAGAAAGATTCCTACAAGTGCAGTAATGTTCCACACACTTTGACTGGAGATAATCCACCACAAAGGACTTTTTCAGACAAATTCCATCATGCAAATGGCATCTCAGTGATCAGAGATAATCGTGAACAAATTGAGGCGTTGGTTTTGGAAAGTGTGTGGAATATTTCCCTTGTCTTCCAGTCTGTTTGTCTCCCCCTCCTCCCCTCCAGCATCTGTTCCCCTGTTTGCCTCCTTCTCCGGAGTCCCGTCTTTGGCCTCTTAGCACCTTGAATGCATGTTCTTTGTTTTTGGTCTCTTCGACACGTAAATCTGCAGTAGCGGACGAAGGGAAACCCCGGAGGTATGCGCATCGATGGTCAAAATCGGTGCTCGTCTGTGCCTTTACTGCAGGTTTTTTTTTCTTTTTGCAAGGCGTGCTGTAGATAACTGGCAGCTCCCCTTTGCTCTCAGCATGGAGGGTGGAAGCATCACTCCCCAGTAGACAGTCCCAGCAACAAAAACAACAACAAAACAACACAAATTTCAAAGTGTTTTCTATCGGTCACGACAGAACCGACTGGCCTAGAAAATCCTTATTGATCTCTTTGCTTTCTGATCCTGGGTCTGTATACGGGGGACGACCTGAGTCGAACCACCCTGACTCCCCTCCTACCCGCTACCCCCTTCTCTTCCTCTTTAGAAGTTGCACCTTCAATTCTACAGAATGCCGTGAGACTTTGCATCCCTGCTTCTGCAACTGCTCCATTCCACTTGCTGGCTAAGTCGGCCTCTCACCCTCCATCCCACGCTCTGTTTTTTCCGAACCAGCCATCCTCCCTCCCTACCTCCCTCTCTCTCTCTCAGCTTCGCTCTGGAGAGCCGCACAAATGCAGCCGATGAAATGCAAAAAAAAAACAGAAAGCTGATTGCGCGGCTCTCCGGCAGCTCTGGGTGTGTTGTAATGTTACCTTCGTAGCCGCTTAAACGCGAGTGCATCCAACGCAGCGAAAACGTTTCTCGTCCGGACTGAAAGCTCGGCTACATGCCAACATTACAAAACACCCCCCTTTTTGAATAATGACTCAATGCTTGTTTTGTTTGTTTGGTTTCATTTTAATGCTCATCCACCATACATGCCTTTTCAACCAGCTCTCTGACTCTCTCTCTGTCTTTCTCTCCTTGCTTGCAATGCATCTTGGGTAGAATTGTGGAGCAAGCACCAGGATAAGCAAAAAGCTATGGAAAAACCACAGAGTAAGAGACTTTTCACACACGAAAAAAATAAAAAAAAAGAAAAGAAAAAAGAGTGGGGTGTTCAGCTGCTGACTCTTTCTCCACCCCCCATTCCTCTCCACCTTTTCAGACTTACCAGTGTTTTTATACATGAATAAATAAAGAAACGCATGTTAGAGTGGATAAATATACGAATAGGAGTTGGTTTGAGAGCATAAAAGATTTTTACTGCAAATCAGAGTAACTTCTGCTCTAAATGAGAAAACCTCCTGCACATGACACTGGATTATTAGATTATTTCAGGCTCAGAATTTCACACAGATATGATACTGTGAGAAATTACAGCCTTGTTTTAGCTCAAATGTGATGTTGTGTTTAACCCTCTGAACCTCAAGCAGTTCTTTTTTTGCCTCACTGTGGTTTAATTTTTTTTATATATGACGTTTAACCTTTAATTTTAACTGGACAACAAGAGCAACTCATTAAAATCTCACGTTGTGAAGCCAAACGTCGTCCACATCCCACATAATCTTATTTTAAATTCAAGCGGCGACTGAAAATTTACAAAAGATACCAAACTGTGTTTTTGTTGGTGTTTGTTTTGGGGCCACTTTAAATTTGTATTTTATGTTTTTGCAATAGAAAGTCCTGCAGCTCTACAGAAACAGAACAACCAGGAAGAAGGAGACAGAACTCTGAAATGTCTGCTGGTGTAATGCCATAAATCAGAAAAAACTAAACAAACAAAAAAACCCTCAACAATTTCTTGAATTTTTTATTTTACAAAAATTTAATTAACTTGGAGCCAACATGTCTAACAAATTTCCAGGTGCCCTCATGTGTTAGTAATACTAGAAAAAGGAATTAATTACTCTCCATACTACAGACATTTTATTATTTGCATCTTTAATTTGTTTCCCTGTTTGTTCTGCGGTAACGCAACCTGCAGTTCGTCCAGGAAGTTCCTGAATTTTTGTCATGAGACTGTAGATCACATCTGAGCTACTCCTGACTTCACGGTTGCATCAGAAAGAGTAGAATTTTTAGTTTTTTACAGAATCTGGTTAATGCAAAGGGTTTATTTTTTACCTTTTTTTTTAATATGACATGTAGAATAGGATTTTGAATAACTATTACAGTTTTTAAGCTTTAAAAAAACTGATGATTAGCTCAAGATCTGTCAAAAAGTTGAAAATTACATCTTTTTTTCCCCAGTTTTTGTCTCTTCTGGCTCAGATAAATGATTTAGTTCTGAGTATTTAAAAATAAATCACCCGCTGTATGTATTCGCTGATGTGTTTTGGGGTTCAGAGGGTTAATCCAGACTTTAAATCGCAGCCAGTCTTGGTTTGTTTTCTTGCACAGTTAAATACACAGTTGTTTACTGATGTAGCACAAAATCCTGTGGATTGGTTTGGAGTTTTTGATATTTATATATATATAAGAGAAAAAAAATGGGAATCTTCTGTTATAATCACTGGCTTAAGCTCGAGCAACCTGTAATTTTGTTTCCCAGTATGTTTTTTTTTTCTCCCCTGGTGACCATGCATCCAGACGATACAGAGATTAATACCTGCTGCCCTGTCCTCCTCTTTTAACTGTATTCTTTCCAGTTTCAAGTGGCTCGCTGTAAATGGTTGTATTTACAGTCACTATTCCAGAGTTGCTGCTGCATTAAAAGCTCAATAAAAATGGGTTTTGCAAAAGTTAAACATCACCAAAAAAAAAAAGAAAAGAACCTGAAACCAAACAAGGAAGCGACGGAGGTGATCCAATAAGAAAACCACACTTGAAACAGAGAATGTCTCCTTGACCGTCCCTCGGTTTGTCTGCATGCCTAACTGCCTGTCTGTCTGTTGGTTTTGCTGTAACTTTTGGGCCACATTGACTGAGAATTAATGTCGCGCTCCTGCAGTTTTGTTTTCATTTGTAACTTTCCCCCCAGTTTTCTGGCACTCTCTCTGCTTGCCCCTTTTTTGTTTTTGTCTTTCCTCTGTCTGGTCTGTAAAACTTTCATCTCTTTACTTAACTTTTGGACACAGAAACTTGTGGGTGAACCCTCTAGATTAGACGGTGTTTCTAGCTAGAGGCAGCTCAGATTTAAGGATCATTTCACGAACATGACTGAGCTAGCGTCCTACTGTGTGCTTTGCTGTGAGGCTTTTGCACTTCAGATGGATGTAGCGTCAGTGTCGCTGTGCTGTGCTGGCTTTGAGTGAGGCGGCTCTGACTGACTGAAGGTAAGGAAGGCAACGTGGTCTCGTTCGCGGGAAGCGTGCTGATTGATTCGTCTGTTTCGCAGGATCCGAAGGAGCGAAGCAGCAGCGTCCTCAGGTGGCCGACGCCGAGGAGAAGAAATCTCAGATCAGTGCCGACAGCGGCCTCAGCGTCGCGTCCGGATCTCAGGTTTGTCGCGGCTCTTTTTGTGGCGCTGAACATTTAAAAATCGAGTTTTGAGGTGCGGCTGCAGCCACAGCAGAAGAACCTGAGACTCAGCTTCATGTCATCGACCAGTTTTTATGGCTGCACTTTAACATTTCAGAGGTTTTGCATCCAAATGTACATTTATTCTTCTGAGCTGATGTCGCACATGTCAAATGAAACTGCAAAACTTCACAATTCTAGTGAAGAAAAATCTATTTTAATTTGCACTAAATTACAACCAGCATGCATTGTTGCACATTTTAAGTTACTCATAAACCTGTTAATGCACTGATATGTTAATATATATTATTACTAGTGCAGCAATGCAGTCTTTGCAAAGGTTTTAACATATTTAATCAGTATTAATGTCATAAAAACGAGCTGAATTGTTGCTATTGACATATAAACACACCAAAGTAATGATGTTATGAAGACAGATTAAACTTTGTGCCAGTTTAGAAATAAAAGCACATTTCTGACATCGTTTCTGTCATTACACCCGACTTTTTATTAAAAACAAACACAAAATAAAATGTAAAGGTTGTCGTCAACATCAACATTAACATTATCCTGATCAGTCAGAACAGTGAGTACGTGACTCTAAAACCCAAAGTCAGTGAATGAAATAAGATCAGTCATGTCTTTAATGTTCCTGCCTCTCTAACACTGTGTTGGGCTTTTATCTGTCTCTATATTCTGACTCATCTGTTTTATTTTGGTGCCTCGTAAAAGCACTTTGGAACTCAGATTTTAAAAACAGACATTATTATTATTTAAGTAATATTTTCGCTTCATACACATTTTTTTGTTTGTTTTCCACCAACATAGTTCGGATAAAGTCATCTCTCGCACACAGTTATGAAAGTACATCTCATCTAATAGCGTTTTATGGTGAGACACGTGTAAAAACAACGATTTCATCATAGAAAATGTGTTTTTTTCCCTTAAAATAATGTAGACAAATCTGCATAAGCTGGACTGTTACAGCCTGTGTTCCTTACAATGACCAACATAAGAGCTTTAAAATTAAAGGTAATATAAAGTATTAATGCTAATGTTTGTGGACTTTAGCAGGTTGTGATGTTGGTTGAACAGATTTCAGCATATTTTCCTGAAACGTGCCTCTAAATTCTCTCCACTTATTTATTTTTCTTCGTTTGTTTCAACAGAAAAGCGACACCGAGTCGGTGACGAGCTCGGAGCCGCCGATCCTGACGAGGAGCACCAGCCAGGACTCGGAGGCCAGCACAGTGGTAGGGCACGGCCAACTCACTCCGGTTCTGCTCGGTCCGGCTACATAGAACCTCAAAATAACACACGTAGACTCCAGGATGATTTAATCTACTGTCTTTCAAAATCTGTTGTCAAAATAACTAACATGAAGGAAGAAGGTTAGCAGTGTGACGTGTACATCGGACAAATCATTGATTTTACCTTCAGTGATTTTGGCGTTTTTACTTTATATGTGGATTTAACCTTTAATTTTAACTGGACAACAAGTGCAACTCATTAAAATCTCATGTTTTGAAGCCAAACTTTGTCCAAATCCCACATAATCTTATTTTAAATTCAAGCAGAGACGGAAACTTTACAAACATACAAAGTTGTGTTTTAGTGGGTGTTTGTTTTGGGGCCACTTTAAGTCCCCAACACGTCATTTATTATTCTGATTAAATCTGTTTGATTTACTCTATATTGAGCTACTTTTTAAGAAGCTTTGTAAGAAAACACCCCAAATATTGTTCATCATTGTTGTCATTGACGTGTCAGTCTTCATAAAGACCAAAGGAGTTGTGTGAATAAATGACACACAAATCACGACTGAATGCTGTAATTAACAAAAACATGAAGTCATTTCACTTTATTAACGAGTTCAATCAAGCTGAGAGACAATTTACTCTAATAATTAATAATAATAATAACTGAATTAGCAAAGCACAGTGCAGTTAGAAGTGATTTACATCAGTGAAAATATATATTTAGAAACATAAATTCAAATAAGCAACAGCTTTGATGCCATTAAATTACAGGAAAATGCATAAAAACTACATAAACGAAAGCCTGCAAAGAGTTTAGTTTGAAGCTGGACGTATGAGGTGCTGTCAGAGTGTCTGGACTTTATTATGAATATGGTTCCCCGAAGATTATTTCAATGTGGAGCTGCTCCCTGTTTGTATTGTTCTTACACTCGGGTTTTCTTATTTTTCAGATCAGCAACAGCTCCGGAGAGACTCTGGGCGCCGACAGCGACCTGAGCAGCACAGCAGGCGACGGACTCGGAGGCAGAACCGCTCCTCATTTGGCTCAGTCCAGAGGGACGCTCTCCGACAGCGAGATCGAAACCAACCCGGCCACCAGCGCCGTGTTTGTGAGTCACACATGCAGATTAAACAGATGTAGATTTAGCTCATTTCTATCAGGGACGGACCGATCATCAGGGTCGATGTTTGGCATTTGTTATAATTATCTGTATTTTTATTTACCAATTACTGATCAATTAAAGGCTCTACTTCGGCTCCTCTCTGTGTCTGTGGTCTCAGAAATGTCTCTCAATCAGAGAAAACTGAACCAGAAACCAGGAAGTTAGCTTCACTTTGACAGCGGCTAGCAGCTAGCGGCTAAGCTAGCAGGCAGCCACAGATGAACCTGAAGCAGACTCTGGAAAACTATGATTAACAATGATTGTTTAAGATCTGGACCTTAGTGGACAATAGAAGTGATAAAACAGTGAAAGAACAGCAGGAGACAGACTGATTTATTCACTACTGTTTGTATTTTAAGGAATTTGGAGAATTCTGAGTCACTTTGGAACCATTCTGAGTCAAATTTCAAGTCATTTTGGACGATTCTTGAACCATTTGAAGATTTTATGAGTCACTGAAAACGTTTGAACCATTTTTGGAGAATTCTGACTCAATTTAAAAAATGTTTTGAGTCATTTTTGTCAGATTTTATATTTTTCCGTACAGCTCTTTAACCATTTTGAGTCGTTTTGAAAAGGCTTTGAGTTATTTTAGAGAATCTTAAGTCCTTCTGTGAACATATACTATTTCTATTTTACAGAATTTGGAGAATTCTGAGTCACTTTGGAACCATTCTGAGTCATTTTTGTCAAATTTCAAGTCATTTTTGAAGCATTTTTGTCCACATAAGCAGAGCAGAGCGTCCTGGTTTAATCACTCCTGTTTCCATTTTACATATTCAGTTATAGCCGCCTTTATTAATGAAGAAGTCTAGTTACGATTGACAGGTTCTCCGCCATCACATGCTGCTGAAACATTACATTTCGGTCCTCTGCCTTTCTTGATTTCTACAAACATTTCTTTGGATTCATTGCGTCCACAGTCGGTAGCTGTGTTTGTTTCACGCCAGAAAAGCTGGAAGGCTGCGGTCCAGAGCTCTGCTCCCTAATAACACCTGAAAATGAGAGAAAGTTTAATGTTCCGGAAAATTGTTTTTCTGCCTTTTTCTTTTTGCCAAGAACAAATTCAGCACAACTGACTGCCAACTTCTCTTCTTTGTGATAAAGCTCAAACTCTGGCTTCAAGCGAGCAGCCGCGGTTGTTGACGGTTTAAAGCGCTCCGCTACAGATTTATTAAACTCAACAACCGCAGATGTTATAGATTTTTTTTCTTTCCCTGTGCGGTTAATTCAGCGTTTCTCTGTTGACTCACAAACACGCCGTCTTTGTTTCGTCCACAGGGGAAAACCCACACTCTGAAACCCGGCGCCAAAGACCACGTCCCCGCGGTGGCCAAGGCTCCGCCCGCTCAGCCCATGGAGGACATCAGCATGAGGATTTACCTGTGTGAAGGCCTGCTGGGTAAACTCTGCTCTCTGTACCGTAGAGCCTCGTCACACGTTCACGCTGAGGCTTCGGGAAGCGTACTCGCACTCCTTCTGTCTGCAGATTGTTCTGTGTCGCTTCACTAACATTATCTTTGTTGTTTGTCGAGCAAAAATCTTCTGTAAATGTGAAAAGATGCTCCAGCTCGAGTAAAGACAGCCGACTTTTAACTTCTGTTACCTTTTACTCACATCAACTTGTGCAAGCTTTGGGTTTGCCCGTTAACCGCAGTGAACTTTCACTAATCGTGAAAAAAAAAAAGGAAAGTTATTTCTGAGAGAAAAAAGCAGAAGTCAGACATGTGATGACCTCGAAGTGACGTAATGTTAAATATGTTTAATTTAGCCGGTGAGCCAGAGGTCTGGTAAGAGCTGAGAGGTTATTCTGTGTCATCTGATGTAACTGTATATAAAACAGAATGAAAAATCAACCAGAACCTCCTCAGAACATCTGGTTCTGTATCTGAGTTCTACCTTCAGACTGTGAATGTTCCAGAGGTCCAGGTCCTTGAAGTCCACAGAGGAGGGTCCAGATTGATCACTTTAATGGACTTTTTCCATCATTTCTGAGCCTCAGAACTTCATCAGTACAGCAGATAGACACATGACATTAAGGAGGAGAACACATTTGGGTTCTGCTAGAACCTGACACCAGATCAGTTTGGGTCAGAACCAGTTCTAGCAGATCATAGGTCTCAGTGTTTCTCCTACATTCTGATAAGAGGCTCATCTTCTGGTTTACGGTCACATTTTAAATTGTTCAGGACCAGTTCTGAGTGATTCTGGAGAAGTTTCAGTGTGTTTATCGACAAGTGTTGAATTGTTCTGGACAGATTTTGATGCATTTTGGGGATGTTTTTGTCATTTTGGGTCATTTGGGACGAGTTTTGAGGCACATTGGGTCATTTTAAAGAAGTTTCATAACATTTTGGACGAGNGAGCCTCAGAACTTCATCAGTACAGCAGATAGACACATGACATTTAGGAGGAAGAACACATCTGGGTTCTGCTAGAACCTGACACCAGATCAGTTTGGGTCAGAACCAGTTCCAGCAGATCAAAGGTCTCAGTGTTTCTCCTACATTCTGATAAGAGGCTCATCTTCTGGTTTACAGTCACGTTTTAAATTGTTCAGGATGAGTTTTAGGTGATTCTGGAGAAGCTTCAGTTTGTTTATCGACAAGTTCTGAATTGTTCTGGACACATTTTGAGGCCTTTTGGGGACGTTTTTGTCATTTTGGACACATTCTGGATCATTTGGGACGAGTTTTGAGGCACATTGGGTCATTTTAAAGAAGTTTCATAACATTTTGGACGAGTTTTTTTTATCCTAAAATGTCATGTACTGATGAAATGTATGAAGTGATCAGTCTGGACCCTCCTCTATGGACTTCAAGGACCTCTGAAGGTAGAACTCTGATCATTAGATAAAGTTAGATTCTGAGAAGGTCGGGAGGAACTTCCTTCAGATTTGGTTGATTTTATATGGAATTAATTAACAGTTGGAAGTTTTATTTGGTCTCAGAGGTTCGTCAGCATCGACTTAAAACTCTGTCATTAAGGTGCAAACAGGAATAACATTAAGTTAACGGGGGAAACTAATTACCATTAATATAATTTTTTGCAAGTCATGACCGCTTTTAGTTTTAACTGCATGTTTACCAAAACAGAGCCTGAATTAATTCGACCCTCTCGGAGCTAAACTCCGGTATTTAAATGTGCCAGAGCAGCCGCTGGATGCTTCTTTGAAGCTCCGGGGCTGTGAATTAGCCAGTAAATGAGCGTGCTGTGTTTGTCCTGGTTGTTGTTGCGGCGCTGTGGGTCTCGGCTCGCTGGGCTCTCGTGTGTCTTGTTTTTTTTTTGCCGTTAAACCGACTCACCTCTTCGCTAACCCCCCTCCTGCTCTCGCTGCTTTTCTTCCCTCCTGCTGCTCCTCATTTGAAATCCTTCCAGGCCGCGATAAGAGCTCCGTTTGGGATCAACTAGAGGATGCTGCCATGGAAACCTTTTCTTTAAGTAGGGCTGATCTCTTTGCCTTTTCCCCCTTTTTTTCTCTTCCTATGTGTGTGTTTGTGTGTGTTTGTGGTGTGTTTAGTGTTTATCCCGGCCGGCTCTGTGTGGAACCTTTGATGTAGAGCCCAACCGATACTGGATTTTTCGGGTCGATACAGATTTTTTAGGGAGTGCAAAGATTCCTCCAGCTAACGACCCAAACAGACGTGATAAGCTCAGACGGCTGTCACGGCTTCTGATGTATTGACGAGGGAAAACGGTGGAAGCCTCTGAACTCCAGCAGCAGCTTCTGGACGTTTATGTTGCTCCCGTCTCATTTTTCCTCACTGTGGACTCGTTTTATGAAGTCCTGCACCTCCATGGGAACAGGAGAGAGAGTTAAAGACATCTTCATGCAGTATGACAGTTAAAATGACAGAAATCATAAACAAAAAATGATGGATTTTGCAGAAAATTTAAAAAATGTGGAATCATCATTTTCCCAGATATTTTTAAGTTTACTCTTTACAATTTCTCCAAACTTTTACACTCCTTACAAACCTTAGAAAGATGTTCCACCATCAGCTGAATGTGTCTCCAACAACTGGCTCCACTATTAACTGGTTCTGATCCATGCTGCATTTATTTATGGATCCAGGAGGTTGGATTTTCCTCTCAGTCTCTCTGATTTGTTTTTATGCTCTGCTCTGTTGGAACACTGCCTGCAGTTCAGCTGATAATTTGCTGAATTTTAGTTCAGTGATTGAAGGTCACAGTCGAGTCGCTCATGGCTCCTCCGTTATGTTGAAGAATACAGAATATTCAGTTTTTTACAGAATCTTTTTAGCGCAAATGGTTTATTTTTTGGAGAATTTTTCAATGAGATGAGTAGAAAAAGACAATTTTGATTATTTGTGGCCATTTTGAGCTTAGATTAGGTTTAATTAGGTGATTCCACACATGATCCAGCTCCGTCACAGAGTTAAAAACTGACAAATCTTTTCATTTTTTACAGTTTCTGGCTCGTAAACTGTAATTTTAGCAATTTTCTAAAGACAACATGCCTTTTAAACCTGCTGACGGGATTCAGAGGATTCACTTTCCAGCAATTAAGTTAAAAAACTATTTACAGCGTACAATAAAAACACCACTTTCTGCTCAGCCGTGAGTCGTTCTCTGCTGCATGTGCTGCAGACGGACTAAATAGTCGGAGCTGCTCTGCTGGACGTGATTTCTAGATTACACCAAAGTCCGTGCAGGTCGGTTGGGCTCTACTTTGATGTGATGTGGGTTTTTCCTGTCCGTCGGTGAGCTGCACATCCGTGATTAACACGGACACGGGTGGAAAGAATCTGGCCTCTCGTGGAGATCAAAGATCGTAAGATGTGTGTGATTTTCCATTAACTTTGGGCGCTTTTAACATTTATTTCAGTTTCTGCTCACATATACTTCCACCAAACTAACTTTCATGTTGACCTAAAACTTTCCTGTTTTTGCTCTGTTGGATTAGAAATGTTGTCAGAAAACTCAAACAAGCAACCAGCCAGTAAATGAGACCAGAAAAGGCGAGAGGTTCAGAGTTAGCACGCTGCTGTTGTTGTTATTAGTGTTATTTCTTTCATCAGTCAAGTTATCGTATGTTTTTATTTTAACAGTTTTGTGGCTATTTGCAGCTTTATTTCCAATTTAAAAGAGGAGACAGCAAAACAAGCAGCATCCTATAAATTCAAGTAAAGCTTCTAATGGAGCTTTTTTGTTGTGAGCTTCAGAGTCATGATGCAACGAGCCATTCTGTCAGAGAAACGTACTTAAACTGTGGTGGTTCAGTCTGTGTCACTTCAGACAGAATTCAGGAAATATGTTGATGCACCGTCTCAGATTTTGAGTTTATTCCTTTGATATTTGGCAAAAAAACAAAAAACAAAAACTAGGTTCAGTGAAGTATTTGTCGCTTAATTTTGAGGATTTCTTTTTCTTTCCACCCTGAAAAAAACAATCCTCAGCATGGAAACCATTTAAAAGGGTTCAATATCTCCAGAAGTTTAGCTCCTGCAGCTGTGAAGTTAGGTGAGAATGGCTTCAACAGGGGCTAAAGAGAAGAAAGTGCACAACTTTCACACGATGGTGGCCTCAGAAAGTCCCTATAAGTGTATAGGAATGAATGTCTCCTTAATTCCTGCTAAAGAATTTAATCTTTAGTTGACATTTCACCAACTGTTGAAGTGGAAAGTTGGACCAGACAAGGTTCCAGATTTTAGATAGTTAGACTAAATGTTGATGTGGATCATTGGTAGGAACCAGAACCTGGAGTTTACAGGTTCTAGATGTTGGTTTAGAGCTACAAGCTGCTTCATGTTGTGCGATGTGGAGGTTTCGCTCGTAAAGGGGCATCATGATAAATGACCTCCGACGCATCCTAAATAACACCCAAAAACTGGTGTTCCTCGGGGTCTATATCTTGTCATTGAATGTAGAAAACTACAAGCTGCTTCCATGTTGTCTTCATGTTGAAATTTAACAACTTATGGAGCTTTTTTTTTTGCTTTTTGAGGGTTTACCGTACAGATACTTGCATTGCACAACATGGAAAGTGCTGCAACAGCGCTGCACTAAGAGCAATGAAACAAAACGATGTAAAAGAGTCGTCATTACTCAGGATTTAGATTTATTTTTTTGCAGGAATTTAATTCTGAAAGGCCACTTTAGTGTCTCTGTTGGTGTTAAAGTCTAGTTTGGAGAATCTTCTCCGCCTCACAGTTGGATGAGTTAACTAAAATATTTTACAAGACTTAGTTTTGGGTCCAAAATCTGAGACGCTGCATCAAAACAAGTGTCTGAACCGACACATCCGGACCCCGGTGTGAAAGACTGAATGCTTGTGGCTGCATGTAGTCGGCACTGTGTTTAAGTGGATCGCCGGTTTGTACGTCTGTGGAACTAAATGCTTCCATGTTTCCAGGTAAGGAACGCTCCACGCTGTGGGACCAGGTCCAGTTCTGGGAGGACGCCTTCCTCGACGCTGTGATGTTGGAGCGGGAGGGGATGGGCATGGACCAGGGCCCTCAGGAGATGATCGAAAGGTTCACCCATTCTCAGACACAGTTTCCACTAAATATGGGTTTCATTGCTGCGTGTCGCCTCCTTCTTGCTGTGTGATGACGTGAAGCTGCTTCATGAAACCACCCTGGACTGTTAATACTGTTTGTCTCCACAGATATTTGTCTCTTGGAGATCACGATCGCAAACGTCTGGAGGACGACGAGGACAGACTTTTGGCCACTTTGCTGCACAACATGATCGCTTACATGCTGATGATGAAAGTACGGGAGTCCGTTCTGTCAGTCCAGTCGGCAGAATCGATGCAAACGTCCTCATTTTCTGATGTTTTTTTTTCCTGTTTCTAGGTGAGCAAAAACGACGTCAGGAAGAAAGTGAGGCGCCTGATGGGGAAGTCCCACATCGGCCTCACGTACAGCCAAGAGATCAACGAGATTCTGGACAAACTGGCCAACATGGTGAATACCCGTCCTCTTTGGTCCACTTGGTTCGGCTCCTGTTGATTGTTTGGTTTGTAACGCTTGGTGTTTGCAGAACGGCCGCGAGCTGTCCATCCGGCCCAGCGGAAGCCGACACATCAAGAAACAGACGTTTGTCGTCCACGCCGGCACCGACACCACAGGAGACATCTTCTTCATGGAGGTACGTCCTGACCCGATTCCTGCCACAGTAGCATCACGGCAAAGAAAAGTAGCTTGAACTTGTCGCTCATATCTCATATCTAGCTGCTTCATGTTGGCTTCAAGCTTTAGAAACCTCTTTAGAAACCCCAGAACACCTTCACTGGTCCTCATTATTACAGTTTTCAGCAGTGTTTTTTGTGCATTTCCTTAAATTGTTGTGCTTAATTAAAGAGATCCAGGCTCTTCCATAAGTTAACACGAACTGATAAACATGGATTCTTCGTGGAGCTACGAGCAAATGGCTTCTTAAAATCTAAATTCTTCGTTTCCAGTTGTTGCTTCTGATCAGTTATCAGAGAGGAACTTCATTAAATCAATACATTTCAAAGTGTTTGTTTTGGAAAGCAGTTTATTAATGGTGCTCTTTATGTCCCACTTTATGTTTTATTCTTATAGCTTTTTCTTTTTGTGATGTTTTAACTGGACTTAATGTCGTATTTTATGTGTTACTCCACATTCCTGAAACCGTGACCAACATCATGTATAAGAGGCTTTTAAACTGCGTCGGGTTTTTGCCATTTTCAGACTTTAATAATCGATCTTTATCTGAACTAAAGACTTGCTGATATGGTTTAGTTTTTATTTAATGATGCTGAATTCCCTGAAAAGATCAAAATCTTTCCATGAAGGCGTTAATCCACGGCTGAAGATGGACCTCAACAAACGCACTAATTAATCCAGTTTGAGTAAAAGCTTGAGCTGTTTTCAGAAATTAAGTCTTTTTAAAATACAAAATTATATATTTGCGACCCGTTTTTACAGATTTACATCTTCAGTAGGAACCAGTAGACTCACTTATTATCTAAAATGGTATTTATGTGCACATTTTGAAGCTTTGCATTCAGAAAAGTTGATGGAAAATTCAAAAAAGCTTCACTTGAGGTGGTTTTTGAAGCAGATAACTTTGCGATAAAACACTTTTCTTTTGGATTAAGTTCAGATTTATTTGTTGTTGTTAACAAAACACCAGCTGACGTGGAAAAATGATTCCAACTTTTGTAAATGAAAACTATTTATCCCTCAATTTCTCTCTTGTAATTTCTTCTTTGAGGCAAATTTGCTCGACAATCACATGAAAACACAACCGCTGTTGGTTTTGGCCGTTTCCTGGGACACTAATTAAAACACAGAACAGCCCCGTCCTTAGATTTAGAGCAAGATGAGTAAAAATATGAGTCTGAAGCTAGTAGCAGGCAGCAGACACAGCTTTAGTGATCTAGTGTGTTGCTGTTTGGTGAGTCGATAGAAGGTTTATTAGAAAACTGAAGTCACTAATTGAACTTGAGCAAAGATAAGTTGTAGTTTTACCTCTTTAGCTCATTTATCTGCAGTAGATTTGACTTCACGATGGCCAAACAGCATAAATTTAGCTCGCTAACAGCTGACTAACCGTCTCGTGGTCGTTGCAGGTCTGCGACGACTGCATCGTGCTGCGCAGCAACATCGGCACCGTCTACGAGCGCTGGTGGTACGAGAAGCTCATCAACATGACCTACTGCCCCAAGACCAAGGTGCTGTGTCTGTGGAGACGCAACGGCCAGGAGACGCAGCTCAACAAGTTCTATACCAAAAAGGTCCCAACAGCCTCCTGCTCCTCAGCCGACTTCAGGAGAACGTCACCGATGGGTTTGAATAACGTTTCCTCTCTGCGTTTCAGTGTCGTGAGCTCTACTACTGTGTTAAAGACAGCATGGAGAGAGCCGCAGCCAGACAGCAGAGCATTAAACCAGGTATTGTTTGTTTTAATGACTTGTTTTAGTCTTTCTTTCTGTTGTCCAGACTGACTTTTTCACAGCTAATCTGTGAGATAACAGATAAGAAAACAGCAAATATTCAGTTATTACGAAAGATTCTAAGTCATATATTCTCAGATATCATGTCATGTTATACACCACATATTATACCAAATAACTAAAACTGACTGAGCCCCCAAGACCTGCAGGTGGGTTTAAATAGCCAAAATTAGATCATTCATCAGAGCCAGAAGCTGTAAAAACAGAAAAATATGTTGGATTTTCAGCTTCCTGTCCACATGTCCATGAACGAATCATGTTTAAAGTGTGGTTGCACTGGGAAATATCGAGATTAAAATTGTGATATTTCATCGAAAAAAAATGAAATAAAAAATGTGCCAAAAACAAACCGTTTGCACGACACGAATCTTGTAAAAAAAAAAAAATTTAAATTAAATTCTGCACTGCTCAGCTCAACTGTGAGTCCGTTAGTGATTCATCTGCAACCTACAACCAGTTGGTAAAGATTCTGGTGAACTGCAGGCTGCGTTTGTGGAAACCAATTAGAAAGACTAGAACTAGAAAGAGAGCGTAATCGAGCACACTGGATCAATAAAGTGAATGCAGCATGTGTTCAGAAGCAGGAGCAAGTTGTTGGAGGATACATCCGGCACGGTGAAACATCTTTCTAGGGTCAGAGCAGAGTGGAAAAGTTATTATATAAGATAAGAAAAAGCAGTAAGATTTCTCGTCTGACGAGATGAAATCATCAAATTTTGAGCATTTTCGCTTAAAAACAAACTAAAAAGCCCCAAACTGGTCATCTTGATAGAGACAGAGTCATGGACTGATCGCTGCATCTCTGTTCTGGTTTCATAGAGGTGCAGGACTTGCAGGAATGTTGCAGGAACACCAGAAAACCGTCGTATTGCCTGTGACATCTTCTAGAACCCATGATGGCAGTATTGATTGTTTTCCCAGGTTTCCAATAGACTATGTTGTTATTATGATTATTATAATACAGGAAAAGGAAAAAGCAGTAAAATCTCTCATTTGTCAAGATGAGACCATCAAATATTGAGCATTGTTGCTTGAAAACAACCAAAAATAATCAATACTGATCATCCAAATAGTCATAGGCTCATTTCTAGTCCTGGTTGTTCTGGTTCCATGGAGGTTCAGGACTTCATGTTGCAGTTAAAAATGAACCACTGTGAGGAAACATGAGGCAGGAGCTCAAGAAACTAGCTGGGAATCAGAAATCCAGCTGAAAGTCTCCCGTTGTGCGTTTTCTCCGTCAGGTCCGGAGCTGGGCGGCGAGTTTCCCGTCCAGGACATGAAGACGGGCGAAGGCGGACTCCTGCAGGTCACGCTGGAGGGAATCAACCTCAAGTTCATGCACAGCCAGGTAAGAGGCCGGCGTGTCGGCCGAGCAGCTCTCCCACCTCACACAGGGCATGAGACTCTAAACGCCACTCACTCATCCCGTCCTCCTGTCCACCTCTCTGCTCGTCTCTCCTGTTTGCCTCCGTTTCATTTCATCTCGTCTTCCTCTATCGCCACCAAAACAACCGACACCAGCACCGATTGGCCGTTAGCTCGTCCCCCGATGTTTTCTCCATAGAGGAAGAATTCCCGTTTGTGCTTTTTGCTTTTTTGGATTTGCTTTTTTTCTTTGATTTCTTATTTTCAGTTTTGTGTTTGTTTGTTTGTTTGTGTGTGTGTGTGTGTGTGTGTTTGTGTGCATGCCTTTCCCACCGCAGTATTACAACACATCCGTCCACACACACACACACACACACACACACACACACGTTTCTTTTGACATCTGTGGTGCTCAGACCTCATGTTTCATTGACTGTGTGGGAGGAGGCGGAGTGTCAACCTGTGTGTGTGTGTGTGTGTGTAGATGTGTGTGTGTGTGTGTGTGGGTGTGTGTGTGTGTGTGTGTAGGTGTGTGTGTGCTGTGAGACGGACGACCTTCAGCAGAGACTTTTCATTAATAATTGGCTATCTTAATAGCAACTTCTGATCTTAAGTTTGGACCCTCGAACATCGTCATGTGGTGTCTTCACGTCTGGTAGCGCTAGAAGCTTCGTGTGTGTGTTCCTGAGTAGCGAGCGAGCCGAAAGATGAGGCGGAAAACAGGCTTTATAGCCGCCGAGCAGCTCGGAAACGGGAGTCAGGGGATGCCAGAGAGGAAAACGGACAGCGTCTCTGAACCAGAACTAGAATAAAAACACATTAAATCCGTCCACCTGTGCAGAAAGTTGTGGTTGAATTATCCAGAATGTACCAAAAGTACAGCTTCAGCACGTAAGTCTGCAATTTAAATATTCGTAAATTCAAGATTCAAGAGAAATTCTAAAGAAGTTCCACGTTCTCAGTTGATCATTAGCTCCATAAAATGTGACCTAATCTAATAAAAATGGAAAGAAAAGCCCGAGTAGACGCATTCAGAGACTTTTATCAGATCAAATAATTAAACATTTTGGGGATCTGCGATTAAAAATGTTTGTTGTTTAATTCAAACAAATGACGGCAAAGTGACGCGAAATCAACACGAAAAGAGCGCAAAGGTGCAAAATGATCGGCTCTAATAATAATCATGATTAGTTCTGGTCCTGAAAAAAAAACATATCAGTTGATCAGTACCAACAAAAAAACAAAAAGGGACACAAATGAATTGACTTAACAGACAAACTACAACAATTATGAGACCAAGTGACCACAAAGTACCAATAAGTTCAAAATAAATAAGAATTAGTGCAGTTCACACAGATACAATCATATATATTCATCAGTTTTTGCTCTGTTTTTAACTGTTTTTGCATAAAACACTTGATTATCAGGTCTTATTTTTAGCATTTTTTTGTCATTGGTATTATTTTTTGCTTTTTCCAGAATCAGTCAGTATAAACAGTTTGTTTTCAGCAAATTTGTAAATGAGACGTGTAGGATAAAGTGATTCTGATGAATTAAGACCATTTTAAGCTGAGATTTGGTTCATTTTTCCAACAAACAACTGTTAGAAAGTAAAAAATCTGATGATTCTTTCTGTTTTTAAAGAAACAACAACATGGCTTTGAGATCTGCTGCTGCGCTTTAGGGTTTAGAGGATTATATAAACATTTATTAAAGAAGACAGTTCAACAAAGTTTGTCTACATTTTGAGTCAGTGGTCTCCTCTGTCTCTATTAATCAATATTAATATCAGCCCTGATTAAAACACATCAGTTTAGTTTTTGCTTCCCAAAGTGGCCAAAAACTCAGTTTAGGGAAAAATCTCACTTTTCCCTGTGAATCGTGGACACAGGAAACCCCAGCGTTGTGCTTGGAGCGCCGTTTTCCTACAGCCGAGGTGAACTGATCCTTTAATCTGGACTCACTTCCTGCTTTTTCTTTTCATTACATTCAGCGTTTTTAACGAGCAAACGAGCTGAACTTTAGTATTTTTGCGTCAGACGTGTTCACTAAACCCTCAGCAGGAGCTTCAGGCAGAACCGGACGCCCTTTGTCAAGACTTAACAATAATAATAATAATAATAATAATAATACTAATAAAACCAAAAGCCACTGGGCGGTGAGATGGCGTCGACGGCGACGTCCTGCATCGTAGTCGGACCCGTTGTTCTGTCCCACTGTGTGAGAAAGTGCTGTTGGTGCCAGCCCTTGTTGCTGGAGGAGGAGGCATGGAGGGTGTTTAAAGTCCAGGAAAATCAGGTGAATCCAGCAAACCTCTAGTCCTTTTTTCTTTTTTTCTTTCTTTTTTCTAGTCTTTTGGGGGTTTTGTTTTTTTTTTCTTATCGGCTCTAGCGGCTAGATTGCGGGTCAGAACCGGCACGAGGCTCCTGTGGAACAGCGTCCTGTCGGGAGTGTCGTCGAGTGTTTGTGCTCTTCTGTCCGATAATAATCCAAACCATTTCTCTCCCATGCTCTCTCCCCCTGCAAGGAGCGGAAGGTACACAACCTCTGCTGTGTTTGCTTATTAGCACTTACATCTTATTGGGTTTTTCTTTCCTTCTATCTTTTTCTCTTTGTTTTTTCTTTTTTCCTGTCGTAGCTGTATGGCAAATCTAATTTTGTGTCCTTGTCTACATTTTTATATGGAACTTCCATGTATGCATCATATGGGCCACATTGCATCTCTTGAGCATTTAAAAAAAAAAAAAAGAATTGTGTTTTTTTTTTTTTTTGCTGTTTTAAACTCAAATTTCCCACTTCTGGTTACGCTCCATTGAATTAGCGTCGAAATGCATTTTCTCCTCATTGCCCATGTATGCGTTTGATCATGGAAACTTCTCATAGTGTGCTTTTTATTTGATTTATTTCCTTTTCTTTCCTTTCGTTAGCCGTTAAGAAGCTTGCATTCCATGTGTAGCTGTTTTATTTTTATTTCTTTTGTTAAAAAAAACCCTTTCATACTGATTAAAACGACGTTAACATGGCTAAGTTATTTCTGAAGTGTTTACTTTTCATCCAGTGTTGTTGAGTTAATAATGTTCTGTCTTGTTTTGTTTGTTTTTTTCGTTTGTTTTTAGGTTTTCATAGAGCTGAGTCACATTAAAAAGTGCAATACAGTGAAGGGAGTCTTTGTCCTGGAGGAATTTGGTAATTACACCATCTATTGATTCTAGGCCTGTACTCGGCACGGCAGTAACTCAGCTCCACGGCAAACCGTTGACCAGATCAGGGCGTCAGGGCTCGCCCCAAAAAAACAATTGGGAACCTGGAGGCGATTCAGGGACGAATCCTTCAGAGGTGGAAGGTTCAGAGCGAGAGACGAGGACAGAGGATGTAGCTGGTGAACAAATTAACCAAACAGAAAATAAATGTTTAGTTTTTATATTTTGATGTTAAATCCCACGAGGAGACCAAAACCTTTCCGTTTAATCCACGACTGAAGATGAACCTCAACAAACACACCAATGAAAACTTGAAGTGTTTCAGAAATGAAGTCTTTTTAAAATTGAAAATTACATATTTGTGACCCGTTTTTACAGATTTACATCTTCAGTGGGACCCAGGAGACTCTTTATTATCTATAATTATATTTTTGTGCACTTCTTGACGTTTTGCATTGAGAAAAGTTGATGGAAAATTCTAAAAAACTTCACCTGAGGTGGTTTTTGAAGCGTTGACGCAGATAATTTTGAGATAAAACACCTTCTTTTAAAAGTTCTGATGACAAATCAGCTGTTTTTTTACTAAAACACCAGCTGACGTGAAAAAACGATTCCAACTTTTGTAAATGAAAACGATTCATCCCTCAGTTTCTCTCTAGTATTTTCTTTTTCGAGCTTTTCTTGTGTTTGTTTTTGTTCCGGTCTTTGCGGCTCCACTCTAGTTAACGGGAAAAAAGCCTGATTTGCATTTTTGTTTTTGTGACAATCACATGAAAACACAGCCGCTGTTGGTTTTGGTCTTTTCCTGGGACACTGATTAAAACACAGCGTCCTGACATTTAGAGCCTGATGAGTAGAAACATGAAGTCAGCAGCAGAAGCAGCTTTAGTGACGGAGTGTTTAGTGAGTTGGTAGAAGGTTTGTTAGATAATAAACTAGCTGAACTAGTTTTAGCTCCTTGTTCACAAACAGAAAAGCGCCTCATCCATCCAGAGCTGAGCTAGTTTGGTCCTTCAGGGTGAGTGTCAGACTGCCAGGCTAGCTGTGGAGGAGGCCTGGCTGGGTTACTGTCGTGTCTCTGTGCTGCTTTTGTAATGTTGCCCTCATCTTTGCCACTATGAAAACCTTCATTCTCCAGCAGGTAAAGTGTTGTCACCTTTCTCCTTCTTATTCCCACTGAACATCTCCTCACTCCATCCTCTCACTGAGTTGTTGTTTTTGGTTGGTTTTTTTTGTTGTTGTTTTTTTTTCCTGTACCACCAGTTTTTTCCCTCTGCTTCTTCTTCTTCTTCTTCCTCTTCTTCCTCTTCTTCCTCCATCACTTGGCTTTCATTTGGGAGTTCACCCCAGACTCCATCTCTGCTCCTCATTCTGAGCGTCTGCCTCTGAATCTCAGCCAGAGGAGATCGTAGGTGGACAGTAGCTCTGCAGAGGGACTTAAACATCCATCTGTCCAGACCTCAGCCTCCTCATCTCTGCTATGGGTTCACAGTTACTAATGAAAAGTCCGTCTGTCCTGGACAGCGACGGGTCAAAGGGCTTCGGCCTCTTGCAGCTGCTTCTCTGTGATGTCTAAGCTCTCCGGGGTGGAGGGGTCGGGTGGAGGGAGGGAGGGGAGGTTGTCCTTCTTCTTCTTCTGTTTGTTGGTTTCCATATGTTGAACTTTACAACCTCTGCAGTCTCTCGTTATAAGACATTTGTGTTTTTATTTGTCCATTCTGTGGGCCACGAACGTCTCACCAACAGACACAAGATCACTTAGTTAAGTTAGAAACATCTGGAAGAGTTCCCCCCAGAACCTCCTCAGAACATCTGGTTCTGTATCTGCAGGAGTTTTATCTGCTGACCAGAGTTCTACCTTCAGACTGTGAATATTTTCTGACTTGGAGTCCAGTTTCCATCATTTCTGAGCCTCAGAACTTCATCAGTACAGCAGATAGACACATGACATTTAGGAGGAAGAACACATCTGGGTTCTGCTAGAACCTGACACCAGATCAGTTCTACATCCATCCATTTTTATTTTAATGTCATTCTGAGCACATTTTGTGTAATTTTGGATGATTTTAGAGACATTGTGGACGATGTTTGAACCATTTTGGACAGTTTTTGTCTGATTGTCAGCAAATTGTCTTTAAATTTGTAAAATATTTGAGTCATTGTGGACAAATCTTCAGCCATCCAGGTGTCTCAGTCTGAACACTGGACCTGGTTTCTGTTCATTTCCTCTGTCAGCAGCTGGTAGCATCAGTATTATGGGATGTCTCACAGTGTGAACAGGTTAATGTCTATGACACAGAGTGGTAGAAACAATCATTGGTTCCCTGGATGTGGTTCTGGTTCTGGTCATTCACCAGAGAAAACTTTACAAAGTGCATTCTGGGTAAACTTACAGGCTCATATCAGCACGTGTGGTGGTGGTTGGTCAGAACCAGTTCTAGACGATGGAAGGACCGTTTTACCTCCAGAACCAGAACCATCTACTAGACTTTTATAGTTTTGATCAGGGTTTGATTTATTTTGGACAGTTTTAGAATCATTTTGGGAAAGTTTTGAGTCGTTTTTGACGCTTTTTGAACAGAAAACACTTTGTTTTGGAGAAGTTTTGGACACATTTGGGGTCACTTTGGTTTAGAGAAAACTTTCAAAGTGCATTCTGGGTAAACTTTAAGACTCCTATCAGCATGTGTGATGCTGGTTTTAACTCATTTAGGTCCATTTTTCACAGGTTTTCTTTATTTTTGGTGTAACGCCTTTTGTGTGTGTCGGCAAGTTTTGGCTCATTGTGGACAAATTCTACGTCCTTACTGACAAGTTTAAGAGATTCTGAACAACCTCTGAGTCATTTAGGACAAACTAAAAACAGAACCATCCAGAAATGAACAGAACCAGGTCCAGTGTTCAGACTGAGGCTCCTGGATGGATGTAGAACTGATCTGGTGTCAGGTTCTAGCAGAACCCAGATGTGTTCTTCCTCCTACATGTCATGAGTCTATCTGCTGGACTGATGAAGTTCTGAGGCTCAGAACTGATGGAAAAAGTCCATTAAAGTGATCAATCTGGACCCTCCTCTGTGGACTAGAAGGACCTGGACCTCTGGAACGTTCACAGTCTGAAGGTAGAACTCTGAAATCATTTCAAAAACAACATCTGATGAGTCCATTGGTGAGAATCTAAACATTCCTCGGCTGAGTTCAGCCTGAACCCACAGCGTCCAGCCCTTTCCCACATTGAAACGCTGCCGTGGTTCCTCCTGGACCCCCCAGACTGTTGTGGTGACTCTTCTTGGCCCACGTCTCATTTTACACCTTGTTGAAACTCCAACCCTGTAAAACCCCCAGAAAGCTCTCACACATGAACTCACTGAGGTTCCTGCTGCCTTTGAATTCTGTGTTTTGTCTCTTGCACCGGCATAGTTCCTGAAACTAAAGAAGTGGTGATCCACAAGTACAAGACCCCCATGGTGAGTCCCGCCTCCGCCCGTCCACACTCAATGCTTTCACCAGAACCTGTAGAGAACCTGCTAGCTAGTCAGGAGGTGGACGCAGCAGAACAGAACCTGAGCTGAAGCCAGACTGTCAGTAGAAGCTCTGAACGAACTCAGAGGTTATTAAAGGATTAAAGAGCTTCTGAGAGTTTGGACCTTCATTAGTGTGATGAAAGTCTGACGAGAAGTCTGTTAGAGACCCAATTAAAACACACACACACACACACACACACACACACACGGGTCTGGATTAGATTCAGGAGTCTGAGTGGTTTGGACTCACAGTAACACTGAAGATCATTTTATCTTCTTTCCTGACGAGCTAAACTGCAGAACGGTTCTATAACTATAACTGGGAATGTGCATGTGTTTGAACAGGTTTGTTGGATGATGTTAGTTACACCCGTGAAGCCATTTTAAAGGTTCAAGATCTCCAGAAATTAAACTCCAACATCCATTAAATGTGGAGAAGAAACAGACAGACTGGTTCCCATCAGACCAGGATGACTGACGGACTCCAGGAGAGGAGATGTTTTTAATTACTGATCCTTAGAAATGAGAACATTTGCCAATGAGGCCGGTGTTGTGTCTCTGTGTCTGTCTATGGATGGAATTTTGAGTTGTTTTTGGTCAATTTATGAAGCTTTTCAGGCAAATTTTTATGTAGTTTTGAACTATTTTTGAGTTGTTTTGGACCATTTTTAAAATGATTTCATCTACTAGTATTAGACACAGACACATAAGGTTGGTCCTGATCCCCATAAAGTTCCTGTCAGTGTCTATCTATGGATGGATCCATGGTTCTACTAGAATCCAGTCTCTGGTCACATTTCACCAACTGTTGAGGCTCTAACATCAGTAGAACCTGATGTGTGGCAAATATGGTAGGACAAGGATCTGTTTTTGTTATTCTGACATGTCAGAATGTCATTGTGAGGCCAGTTGGACCAGTTTTGTGTTATTTTGGACATTTTTTGAATAGTTTGTGATAATTTTTCAAGCTTTTAGGGCTAATTTTGTGTCGTTTTGAGCAAATTTTTATTTATTTTGGACAATTTTTAAGTTGTTTCATCAAGTAATATTAGACACAGACAAATGAAGCCTGTATCATGTCCCCAGAAAGCTCCTGTCAGTGTCTGTCTATGGATGGATCCATGGTTCTACTAGAATCCAGTCTCTGGTCACATTTCACCACCTGTTGAGGTTCTAACATCAGCAGAACCTGATGTGGTGAAGCTGGACCAGACAAGGTTCCAGTTTCTAGATGTTCAGGCTAAATGTTGATGTGGATCATTGGTAGAAACCAGAACCTGGAGCTCACAGGTTCTAGGTGTTGGTTTATATGTGCAGAGCTACAAGATGGGACAATTTTATGTCCGTTTTGGACAAATTTTAGATAATTTTCTGTGAATTTTTGGACAATTAAGGTCATTTTTGGACAAATTTAGGACTTTTTGTGTCATTTTTGGATAATTTGGAGAATTCTGACTTGTTTTGGACACGTTTCGAGTCATGTTGGACAATTATGAGACATTTTGGGACCTGGAACCTTGTCTGGTCCAACTTTACCACATCAGGTTCTACTGATGTTAGAGCCTGGTGGTGACATGTGACCAGAGACTGGGTTCTAGTAGAACCATGGATCCATCCATAGACAGACACTGACAGGAACTTTATGGGGACATAACATGACCACAAGTTTGAACATTTTGCACTTTTTCCTATTTTCATGTGCCAATATTAACTCGTTATTTTGGACAGTTCTGAGTCATTCTAGACAGGATTCAGGTCACTTTGGACAGTTTTTATATTATTTTATACACATTTTACCCTATTTTGGACAAGTTGGAGCCATTTTGCTTAAATTTTGAGTCATTTTCTGCATGTTTTTAGTAAAAATAGCAAAGAACTGGAGCCTCAGCAGATGGAGACATGTGACCAGAGACTGTTCCTTAGGAGAACCATGGATCCCATCCATAGACAGACGCTGACAGGAACTTTGTGGAAACACAACACCACCTTTGTTTCAAAACTTTTGCACAATCTTCCATTTTCAAGGGCTGATAATAAAAGACGTGTCCTCTGCTGGAGCCATTCAATCATTATAATCTGCTTCTGTCTGCGTCCAGCAGATTTAATGACCGTCTGAGGAGTCTTTATCTGTGGAGATATCGAACCTCTAAAATGGCTTCTAAGGTGAGAGGATTGGTTGAAGGCGTGACTTCACAGGTCTGAAAACATGTAAAATTCGACAAGAATTGAGGCAAAAATATTTCCCAGAACTTGGTGGTGCAGCTTCACCGCTGAGTGTGAAGATATTTATTGACCTACGACACAAATAAAGCAGCAGAATCAGTGTTTGTAGCAGTAAACACTCATTTTAAAGGCCAGAGACGGCGCCTGTGTGATCCATAACTCCTGCTTCCTTCTCCTCCTCGTGTTCTTCCCTCTGCAGGCTCACCAGATCTGTTACTCCGTCCTCTGTCTTTTCTCGTACGTGGCGGCGGTGAAGGGGAAGGAGGCGGAAGGAGGAAAACCCAAGATGCTGTCGCCGAGGCCCCTGCCCAGTTAGTGTCCGGCCCGGCTCGGCCCGGCCCGGCCTCCCCCTCCTCCGACCTCGGCCTGCCTCTCTACTTGAAAAAAAAAAAAACAAAAAACGCCACCTCGGCTCTGAAAAGACTCTCGACAATCCCCGACTCTACTCTAAGCACAGCGCTCTCCTGTACATACCTCTGTTTCTTTCTTTTTTCTTTTTTTAGACGTGTTTGCTCCGTGATGTCGTTGTAAATACCCTCGTCCAGATGTTCGCCCTACGCTTAAACCTCCCGCTCCGTGTGAACGTCTTGTCCGCTGTTTTTAACCGACGGCTCGAGTGCATGCAGGTCCCGTGCACAAGCCTCGACATCCACTACGGCGTCGCTCCTTCCTCCTCTTCCTCTTCCTCTTCCTCCTCGTCTCCCTCCATTCGACTGTGTGAGTTCGTTCTGTGCCGTGTGGTTTCCCGTGAAGTCGTCGTGCAGGATGTCGATGAAAACCGCACCAGAGCGCCGCATGTAAACGCTTCTCCTACGTGGTGTTTTTTTGAAAACCCTGTGAGTGTTCTAGACCGGATTACCGTCGTAGTTCTGCTGTAAAACTTTCTCGTCTGTGGTCTGCTGTTATATCGGTTGCATGTTACTATGGCGACGACAAATAAATATTATATATATTTCTATATATAGTATTTATTTAATATATACATACATATATATTGACTGTACATTTCTCTGAGGAAAAAAAAAAAAAAGTTATAAAAATTGTCGATTTGCTAGATGTGCAATACTCAATAAGACGTAGTTAGCCATTGCCAGAGTGTCCCTCCTCCAGTGAACTGGCTCCAACAGGGTGAAGAATGTACCACACAGGGGTTCTGTTCTGTTTGTTTTTCTTCTATTGATTGAGGTGAATATTCAGCGTGACGTGAACGTTCGTCCTCGTGTCGGTCAGGAGGCGACGGCGGCTGCGTTGGTCTTTAAGGAAGTCGTTTGTATTTTAGGCACATTTCTGGTCGGTTGTGTGGAAGCAGGTGTTTTAAAGCTCCTCAGCGGTTGTTTCGCTGCCTTCTGTGAAACTTTAGGCGTCCTGCAGCCTCGGACACATTCATCTGGACTCTAACAGCGAGTCGTGGGGACGCTGCTGTAGATGTTATCGTCTTCTCGCTGCTTGTAAGTGTTGAAACCGTCGACTGCAGGCTGCACAGAAGGCCTCTTTGATGGCACACGTTTGGTGTTTCACAGACTTCCTGCTACTGACGATGTCGGCCGCAAAGTCGTCGATCTGTACCTTGAAATCTGCTTAAAATTGCTGCGTCCAAATATTTGTACGTCCACGAAAAGTTCAATTACACGTTAGAAAAACATTCGAAGGCGTTAGAGCGAAAATTCTTAGTTGGACACAACTGGAATGAGTTTTAAATCTGTATTTGGGGTTTTCCTTCTTCATTCTGGTCGTTATTCAGAATCTAAAACTCTCCGTCGTTCAGCTCATCGTGCATCTAAACGCTCAGACTGAGGCAGCTGGTCTTGATTCAGTAACTTGAAGATGTTTCACCGTTTATCTGAAACTTTTCTTCAGTTTAGTTCAGATAAAAGCTGGAACGTCTTCAAGAAACTCAACTCCAGCTGCCTTCAGTAGAACATTTAGGAGAACGTGTCTTTAGTTTTCCAGACACGGGGTCGTATGTTCTGATGATTTCTGTTCGAAGCAGCGACTTTTGCTGGAACAGAATCTGTAAATTTACAGCTACAGGTCGACCAGTCGGGCTTTCTTTCGTCGATTTATACAGACGACATGACCGGAAAAAAGGTCAAGAGGCAGACAGATTAGGAAAAATCTAAATATTTTCCAAGTCCATGAACGTTCGTCGCTGTCAGGTGATAGTTTAAGACCCTGATGAGAAGTAAGACAAACGTCTGAGTGAAAAGTTTTAGTTGGATGCGACTGTAAGGAGTTTAAAACTTCCTCATTGTGGCGACATGGTGACGATAAAACCGCTTCGAAACGTCTGAGTGCTGGATCTGCTTCAGTTCTTTGAAGATGTTTTTATCTGAAACGTTTCTTCAGTTCTGACTGAAAAACTAAACTGAGAACAGAAGGACGATGAGATCAAACCGACTTAAAAATGTCTTTGGCCTTCAGTCTTCTGCCCGAGGCGACGACCTTCTGCTGCCGACGATATGTTTAAATTTCCAGCTGCAGCTCTTTCTGTGTCCGTCTATAAAGACTAAACGACAGAAAAATGATGTCAAGTTTCACGAGAAGCAGATAAATGGAAAGTTACTGAAGACGGAGCCGCTTGGCCTTTCGTAACTCGATTTATAGGCTGAATAAAAACATCATTTGGTTGAAACAAATCGATTGTGAAGCCCCAGAATCTAATCCGACTTCTTCCAGTTGCTTGTTTTGACCGAGATGTTTAAAATAAGATGTCGGAAAACTTGAAACGAGAAGAGAAACGCCTGCTTTCACAGAAACCGATGAGCAGCCGTCCCTGTCGTTCGGCCGACTGACCGACGGACGCCTGCACATCATCGAGTCTTAACGTCGTGTTCGTTCCAAGATGGTGGAGGTTCCTTCTCCGGCCGCCTGCCTCCACAGGAAGAGCGTCTCCGGGTTCGTTCGTGTGCAGCGAACAGTTTCTCCAGATCAGCAATATAACCGGTGGATCGGCCCCCCGAAGAGGTTTTATTTTCATCCTGATGATGTATTTTTTAGTAACTGTGCAGAGAGGAAGTAATCAGTAGGACGTCCACGAGATGCTCGCTCCAGAAAAAAAATAAAATAAAATAAAAAAACACAGGAGCGTCTTTCAAACCTGATCTGGGGATTTTCTGCTGAGTTTAAAAGAAAAAAAAAAAAAAAAAGTATGTTTGACTTTTTGTTTGTTTTCTTTTTTTAAAAACTGGATTATCGCAGCTCATCTCTGTCACTGTGTTCGCCGACTGCTGTAAAGAGAAGGAATAAAATAATAAAAAAGAACTGAGATGAAAGGTGTAAGTACTCCAGTATTTGAAAAAGTATTTATAGAACATGTACAGCTTTGGCAATATAATAAAGTTGTCCCACATGAGGCCCGCTGACGTTGTTCTGCTTCTGTGAAGGAACGAGTGGAAACCAAAGAAGATCTGAAGGTTTATTTTGAGACAAACATTTAGAAAACAAACAAACATTTGCTTGAACACCGTCAGAGTGTCAAGACTGGAAAAAACACCAACAATAAAAGCTGCGTTTCATTCTGCTTCCCTCAAGGTGCATGTTTGTTTTTATAAAGTGGGGCGACGACGTGAAGCAGAATGAAAAGCAGCCAAAGTGCAACGATTCTGTGAATTCCTGATCAGACTTTTACCTGATTGGTTTCCACACGAGGAAGTCCGTCCAGCGTGTGTCTCAGGTCACGTAAATAAAACCATAAGGCTGCAGTGAGGAGACGTCTGAGGTTCTTTGGCACCGACGAAAGATCTGAGATGAATTATTTTACAGTAACGGCAGAAAACACAGAAGATCTCCATCACGACCCTGGTGGCCTGAAAGACGTTCTGCAGGAATCTGATGTGATTTATGTTCATATTTAACTGAAATTTAAAGTCCTGCAGCTGTAGAGGAAGAAGACGAGGAGGAGGAGGAGGAGAGCTCAGACGGTAATAACGCCTTAAATCATGAATAAAAAGCTGAATTTTCTTGGATTATTTTACAAAAAAACTGGACTCATTCACGATTTACATTTATTTTGTGTGTAAACATCCTGAAGTTCAGCCGGAAAGTCGTTAAATTTTTGTTCACAGCTGAGTTTTGAAAATAATTTTTCTTTTTACAAAATCTGATTCATGCAAACAGTTTAATTTTTGGAACATTTTTAAATAAGTTGCCACGATTTCACGACGAAAACAGTTAAACTAATCCGAAAGCTAAAAATCCAACAATTCTTTATGTTTTTCAGGCTGATTAATGTAATTTTGGTATTTTTTTAATTTTTAAATTAAAAAATTTAAAACTTTTTAAACCTACCAGCAGGTTTCAGGGTTCAGAAGTCATAATTGAAAACACTCAGCAGCCGCTTGTGTTTCCAGAACAACTATTTCTCTGATTAAAACCTACAAATCAACTAATTATCAAATCCGATATTCATGATTTTTTGCAGTTTTTGTGATTTATTTCTAAACCAAGCAGCTTCATCTCATTGGTTATGAGCATAAATGTTATAAAGTCTGTTTTTAAACACACAAAGATTTAGATTTTTACTGAAAACTGATGTGATTTAGTGATAAAACTTGTTACTGGCCTTTAAAAGAACACGTCTCCACTACAGGAAGTCGGTTCACAGTTAAATAAACCATCCTGTAGTTGGTCATTTGTTGTTTCCGGCAGCGAGCGGATGTGAGTCCAGTTCTAAACAGGAACCAGAACCGAGGAGGTTACGTTGGTCTGAACGATGAACTTCAGATGGTTGACGCTCAACGAAGCTGCTTCTGTCTGAATGTGACCCATCAGAGCCACTGAGACCAACACAGGGCTGTTTAGAACCACTTAGTTCTGCTCTGAAACCCACAACAGAGGTTCTACTGGGACGGTTCCTGCAGTTAAAGGTTTGGACCTCCTGGTATCTGGTGATGTGATTTATTCAGCTTCAGAGGCAGAAGAATTCCTACATGTTATACTTTTATATTTACATATTTTAAATCACCGTCTGCTTCCTGAACCCAGAGCTACAGAACCAGGACTTGGGCCACCAGGGTCAGCTGAGGGAGCGACTCCGTAACTCGGCTGAACTGACTCGACTTTTCAGCGCTACGGCGACTCGAGGCGATTTAGAGATTCAGCGCGCGGCTCGGCAGAAGGAAGGGAAAGTCAAGGACGGCTCATCCTTTGAGGAGGCGCCGGATTAAACAGCAGAGGTAGAGCAAAGAACTGCAGCAGGCGGCGGGAATATCAAGCAAGCCGCCGCCTCCTCGGGTTCCTCACACATCTACACAGACGGGCCTGAAAGAAGTCCCCCGTCGTACAGTTACATTTAAATTTCACCCGTGAATCAGCAGATAAAACGCTGCAGAGAACAGGAGGGAGGAGCCGAACGAAGGGGGAATGAGGAATTAGATTAAGACACCTGTAAATGACACCATGTTAGCGTCAGATTGTGGCTGATCCTGGACCACATGTGTGTCAAACTCTTATAAACCGAGGAGGCGTTTCGTCTTTGCATTGTTGTGTTGCACCACGTTTAGGTTCTTTTTTTTTTGCAGATTTCAACCTGTTTTTATGACTCTATGCTGGAATATCACAGATTTAGCTCCTGGTTCCTGATGTGTCACCGTCCTCGTGTCGTCTCAGCGTTTTACCGTTTAGCTTCGCCCAGAGTTCGTAGAGACGCCCAGTGAAGGCCGTGAACGCCGCCTAGCTAGGCGTCTCCGTGGACCTTCCTGCGCAGGATCCGGAGGCGGGACATGACCTCGTCCCAGTCCAGGTAGGCGCCCTCCAGGTGGCGCAGCCGCCCGGGGTTGCTGACGTAGCTCCTCCGGCCGTGCAGCAGCCGCCAGTTGTCGAAGGTCACCAGGTCGCCTGCAACCAGAGCAGAAGGACGGTTCAGAGGCCGGGTCGCGTTTCAGACGATGAAAAGTGTCTGAAGCTGCAGGTGAAGACGTTCAGGAGGTTTCTGGAAACAACTTCAGGAATGCAGCTTCTTGTTTCTCTCCTGTTTCGCAGACGACTGAGGTTTGAGTTTATTCGTTTGTTTTTCAAGGATTTTTTTGCACAATTAAAAGTATTTGCAGCTGATTTGCATCTGGACAGAAACAGAAGCAACGCAGAGCAACAAGTACATAAAACCTGATGTGAGGTGATAAATAAAAAATAAAAGGTCTGAATTCAGTCTCTAATGTAGCTGCTTTTTAAAGACTCAATATTTTGGACGTCTACAGGTTTAAAACTTTACTTCAGATGTTCACTCCAACATGTTTACGTGCTGTAATGTTATAAAAACACATTATTCTTCTCATACGGATCGAAAACCATCAAATCTTTGGAACAATTTCTGCTCTGTCGTCTCTAATTTGACTAAAATGACGTAAAATCTGGATGTTTAAAAAGATATTTGTGGAATTAAAGCTTCATTCATCAAATACTTTCCAAGATAAACGTTTTGACTCACTTTCAGCAGCTTTTTTTTCTCATATTGATGTTTATGTAAAATATCTTTTAAATTCCATCTTTGATTTGTTTAAAACTTTTCCAACGTTAAATACGGATATTCATCAAGTTATTTGTGACATTTTACCTCCACTTTTCATCTACTTTTTGTGAAAATTGAATTTTTTTCTCCCACTTTCACGTTTTTTTCTCAGATGATAATTTTCATCTTTGAATGAAAACATCTCAGAAACTATTAGAGATAAAAACCTGAAGTGTTTCCTCTCATTTCTCATCACGTCACTGATTCAGAATCTGTCATATCGGACACAGAGATCAAATTATCTGATTAAAGAAAGAAATGAAAAGTCACATCGTTGAGCTCACGTTAACAAACGATTCGTGAGTAAAGATGTGTTTAGAATCATCGAAGGGCGTTTTTAACATCAAATATCTCAGGACGGCCTTGAGATGAAAATTTAAAACTGAAATCTGAATTAGAATCTTTAGTTAGAGCCCTAAAATGTGGAATAAATGCTAAAACATAAACTTAAATGACTAAAATAAAAAAAAATATTAAAAAGCATTTCCTGACTTCATTTTCTTGAGCTGTCTTTTATTTTATTCTGTCCTGCCCTCATTGGTTTTAATATAATTCTGTTTCTTGCTGACTTTTTAAACTCTGATGACTGATTTCATGTTAACATTAATTATTATTATTATTATTATTATTAGTGGTCAGTGAGCAGGTGAGAGGCTTCGTCGATGCTCTCGTCACTCCTCAGGCTCGTCTGAAACTAACTGAACCTTCACAGGAAGCTCAAGGACGAGCGATCAGGACGTCTCCAGGCTGAGCTGCAGGTGAAGCTGCTGTCAGGCTGAACCTCGACGTCCTTAATCTCTCGTCTTCATCTCTGAGCTCCAGACTTCCAGACGGATTAACAGATCGGCGCTCTGATTCGTCGGCAGCGACGCCGATGATGACAGAGATGTTGTCGCTGCGCCGGTTCGCGCTCTGTTTACTACGAGCCTCGGCCTAACACACATCCCTCCTCCTGTGAGCCTCAGCGTTGGGAACATGAACCCGTCTGGGCTCCACACTGACCTGGTTCCATCCTGTAGGTCACCACGTTCTCCGGCCGGTTCATCACGTCCACGTAGCTCCTCAGCGCCCTGTAGAAGGGCTGCACCTGGTGCAGGGGCAGGTCCAGCACCGAGTCTCTGGTGGCGTTGTTGTAGTTGATCCTGGCGACTCGGCCTTCTGCGTCCACGCTGAGCCAGACAGGAGACAACAGGTCAGGAAGGTAGAGCTGAAGCAGGTCATCCATCAACAACGCAAGATTAAAACCAAACAGAGGGTCCAGAGTCACTGGATTCATTCTGGATCATGAACCTCAGCCTGGTCTCTGGTTCACATCTGCTCATAAAAGAAGAATCATAAATGTTATCAATCAATAACACTGAATGAGTCCAGTCTGTCTGGAGAATGAGACCCTGTGTCTCAGTGAGGTTACCTGTAGAAATAAAGGACATAAGAAGAAGAACAATCTGGATTCAGTGTCTATAATTTCAGAAAATGATCCCAAAGCTAAAGCTGAACTCTTTAAAAGTTTTGTCCAAACTACAAAAGTTCAGTTTGAAGGATTGTAAAAGTCGGCTCCTGTCCAGATCTTCCACAGTTTGATGAGCGTTTATTTATCCTACAGCAGAGAAAACGTGCGTTATGGCAGCAGAACAGCAGAACAGTTAAAAAACAATAAACCAAGAATATACACAAGCAGTACACAAGCACAGCTGCTCATCTCTGTGGGAAAGAAACGCTCAGATGTGATGTTAGCTAACGAGCATATTGATTGAACACTTGATTTCTGGATATGGAGTGTTGGTCAGATGCATTAAGTAATCTGAAGACAGCTTTGGGAACCTTGACAGTCTACTTTTTAATATTTTCTGACATTTTACAGACTCATGGATTCATCATTTATAAACACTGGCTTCAGTCTGTTTATCCAGAAAACACTCGAGAAGCTTCATTTAGTTACAGAAGAATTGATTAAACATCAACTTTTCAAGTGATTTCTTTGCTTTTTTGGCCAAATGCATGTGAATAAAAGAACATTAGACAATCTGATTTCACCTTAAGTCTGACATCAGAGCATGTGAGGAGGTACTACATGTGGCCAGCAGATGGCAGTGTTTCATTTCTAATCACATGGACTCAGGCTGCTGAGATGCATCACAGATACAGTGGCTGTGTTTGTATGAGGGGAATAAATAAAGACAAACCCACTCACTCGATGATGCACTTCTTGCTCTGCAGCATGAAGTCGCAGTAGTCGGTGCCGGTGTCGGTGAAGTCGACGTGCAGCGAGCTGAGCGTGCTGAAGGCCTCGGGGTCTTCCCTCTGCAGCTGCTCGGCGGCGTGGAAGCCGTCCACCACCTCGCTCTCGCCTCCCTCCACCGCCTGGTTGATGCAGTGCAGGAACTGGACCTGCAGCGACAGACAACAAGCCTTTCTTTCACCGCGTCCGTTTCAGAACCGAGCGTAAAAGTCGAGGCGTCACTCACTCCGGGCGCAAAGTGCAGCGCGGGGTAGTCGGTGTGCTGGCTCAGCTTCCCCGACGTGTAGGCCACGTTGTTGGCCATGGGCTTGTCCTGGACCTGCCACGTGTGCCTGAGGGCAAAGATAACATTCATTAATACGCTTCAATTATTTAACTTCACAAGATCAGCAGCTACGACGAGGCGAGCGTGGAGGAGGAGGACGAGGTTCAGAGGGATCCCTGAGGGGCCTCGCTGCTCACGCTGAGGCCTCTTAAGCAGAAGCTTCATTGAGATGCAGCGGGAGTGGAGGCGCTAATGAGGTGGAGTTATCTTCTAGTTCCTCTGATGGCAGAACCTTCTGTGAGCTCATCTGCTGGCTGAGGGGAAAAAAAGCGAAGCTCCAGACCTCTGTTCTGACTGAGTGCACCAGGTAATTCCTCTGGCTGAGAAACAAACCCAAGAAGCTGGAATGCTTGTGAGTTGTTTTCCCGTCTCTGTCCTCCAGTAATCAGCGCCGCAATAAGTCAAAGTGATGAACTCTGTTGTGGCGAGAGCGCCGGCAGACGCTCGCTGAGCTGGGAAGCTGCGGATAATTGACTGTTGGACACAAACACTTGAGTTGTAAACTTTTCATCTCTTCTTCTGGATCCTCTGGAAAAAGCCAATAAAGGGCCCCTTCTTCTATCTAATTTCTTGCTAATAACGCTCCCGGGCTCGGCTCCAGCTCAAACACGGTGGGTGGAAAACTCAGGATTTAGTTATTAAACAGTGGCTGCTGGAGGAGGAAGAAAAATGGAGGAACATCACAGAGGGGCTGCAAGGTGGATCGGTGGTTAGCACCGTCGCCTC